CTCTCCGATCTGCCTCTCCCTCGCACCCTCCTTCTTTTTCACAACACTGTCTTTGACGCTGCCTTCCACTCTGTTCCTCGCTCTTCCTCTTGGGGAACGCGGAAGTGCGTTCCCTGGTGGAATATGGACTATGCTCGGGCTGTTCGCAGTAAACGTACAGCCTGGAAGAGACATCGCCGCCGGCAGACGGTTGAGTCTTTTCTTTTGTTTCAGAAGGCGAGTGCGGTGGCCCATAGGACCATCCGTGCAGCTAAACGTGCTTGCTGGGAGTCTTATGTCTCCACCGTTACGTCCGAAACTCCTCTCCGACTTTCGCAATCCGACTTCGCAATCTCAACACCATCTAGCTCGTATCTTGTAACTCTATCATCATTACCTATCTTGAGGTTATCTTGAGATGATTTCGGGGCTTTAGTGTCCCCGCGGCCCGGTCCTCGGCCAGGCCTCCACCCCCAGGAAGCAGCCCGTGACAGCTGACTTAACTCCCAGGTACCTATTTACTGCTAGGTAACAGGGGCATTCAGGGTGAAAGAAACTTTGTCCATTTGTTTCTGCCTCGTGCGGGAATCGAACCCGCGCCACAGAATTACGAGTCCTGCGCGCTATCCACCAGGCTACGAGGCCCCCCTAACCTCAGAACTTTACATTTATCAGCATCAAACTGCATCTGCCAATCCTTTGACCATTTCAAAACCCTATCTAGATCAACTTGAAGTGATAGTGAGTCCTCCTCCGAATTAATTTCCCTACCGATTTTCGTATCATCGGCAAATTTGCAAATGTTGCTACTCAAACCTGAATCTAAATCATTTATATATATTATAAACAACAGAGGTCCCAGGACAGAGCCTTGAGGCACTCCACTTACGTTTTCCCACTCTGACTTGATTACATTTATACTAACTCTCTGTTTCCTTTGGTATAGCCATGCCCTAATCCAGCTTAATATAGCACCCCCAATACCATGAGACTCTATCTTTTTAATCAGTCTTTCATGTGGCACTGTATCAAAAGCTTTGCTAAAGTCAAGGTACACAACATCACAATCCTTACCACTATCAACTGCCTCAACTATGCTAGAATAAAAAGATAACAAATTTGTTAAACATGAACGGCCATTTATAAAACCATGTTGCGACTCAATTATTAATTTATGTTTTTCAAGATGAAGATGAATTTTATTTGCTATTATAGATTCGAGTAACTTTCCCACAATAGACGTTAGGCTAATTGGTCGATAGTTAGATGCAAGTGATCTATCTCCTTTCTTAAAAACTGGTATCACATTAGCAACTTTCCAAAACTCTGGCACTCTGCCTGACTCTATTGATTTATTAAATATGGTTGACAGTGGGTCACAAAGCTCCTCTTTGCATTCTCTAAGCACCCTGGCAAACACTTCATCCGGCCCTGGGGATTTGTTTGGTTTGAGTTTTACGATTTGTTTAGGAACATCCTCCCTGGTAACTGCTAAACTTGTCAACCTGTCCTCGTCCCCACCCACATAGACTTGTTCGGCTGAAGGCATATTGTTAAGTTCCTCTTTAGTAAATACAGATACAAAATATTTATTAAAAATACTACTCATCTCTTCATCACTATCTGTTATTTGACCTGTCTCAGTTTTTAATGGACCTATCCTTTCCCTAGTCTTAGTACGATATAACTGAAAAAACCCTTTAGGATTTGTCTTTGCTTGCCCTGCTATGCGAACTTCATAGTTTCTTTTTGCTTTCCTTATCTCTTTTTTAACATTTCTAACCAGTTGTACGAATTCCTGTACTAAAGTGACCTCCCCATTTTTAATCCTTTTGTACCAAGCTCTCTTTTTACCTATAAGGTTCTTCAAATTCTTTGTTATCCACTTTGGGTCATTAGTATTCAATCTATTCAATTTGTATGGTATACTACGTTCCTGTGCTTTGTTTAGAATATTCTTAAATAAGATATATATTGAATCCACATCGAAATCCCCATTTAAGTCACCTATCGCTGGGTTCATGTCTCGCTCTAAGACCGGCCCACACCCTATACCCATGACTTTCCAATCAATTTGACCCAAAAAATTTCTTATGCTATTAAAATCAGCTTTTCGAAAATCTGGCACTTTAACAGAATTTTCTCCTACTGGTCTATTCCATTCTATGCTAAATCTGATTACTTTGTGATCACTGTTCCCTAGCTCACTCCCTATTTTGATGTCATTAATTTGTGTTTCCCTGTTAGTTAACACTAAATCTAAAATATTATTTTCCCGTGTTGGTTCCTTAATGTGTTGCGTAAGAAAGCAATCGTCAATTAATTCTAGAAAATCTTCTGCTTCACTATTCAATGTTTTGTTCAACCAGTTTATTCCGCTAAAATTAAAGTCACCTATGACATAAATACTGTTAGATCTAGATGCTCTAGATATTTCATCCCATATGTGATTTGCTTCCATTCTGTCTAAATTTGGTGGCCTATATATAACTCATATTATAATATTTTTAGCTTTTTCGTTTAATTCTATCCAAATAGTTTCTGTGTGTGGCTCAGTTTTGATTCCCTCTTTGAGACTACATTCCAAATCGTCCCTAACATATACGGCTACTCCACCTCTTCGTCTAATATATCTATCTGTGTGAAATAGTTTAAATCCATTTATTTGATATTCAGCTAATAGTTCTCTATTTTCTACATTCATCCACGTTTCGGTAAGTGCAATAATATCTATTTTTTCTGTGCAGACAAGAGCATTTAATTCGTTAATTTTATTTCTTAGACTTCTACTGTTAGTGTAATATACCCTAAGTGAATTGTTATTTTGAGGCCCTTCTCTTTCCCTGATCATTTTGCCAATTCCTTTCTCCCACAAACACATACTTTTATTACCTCCTTCCTCCAAATCAATTCCCATACCTCTATCTACTAACAGTTTAAACCCAAACAAACACCTCTAACCACTTCTTCCAACGAGTTCGCAACAGCAACAACCCCAGCTCTCGATAGATGCACCCCATCACGAGCATACTTTCACAACTCTCCAAGACGAGGTCCCTTTACTACTGGTCTCCTCCTTCGTTACTTCTCGTTGTTCTTTCAGCTGACGCACCTCCTCCCGCAGAGAGTCCAACTCTGTCCTCAGGGCTCCCACTAGAGTCACCAGGTCCTTCACTACAACTTCCATATTGCTGTGATAATATAACAACACTCAGGAGCTCCGGTTAACACACCCTCTCACTGAGACTATCTGCGCCTGACGATTGGTTTGGACATTTCAACAGGGCATTCTCATTATCTTTGAATTTGGGACTCGTAGATATTTAACCTAAACAAGTGAGATACTTGTCAGTTCATAACAAGTTGTTTCCTTTCCTTTATATGAATGAAAGACAGAGGCTTTCATTCATTCCTATGCTCGATAAAACATCTTTGGCTATATACTATAAATATTAGGTATAAATAAGTATTCTTTGGGCACAATTCATTTTCTTACAACTTAAATGGTCTCCTAAAAAGAATTGGAACAAATAAGCTATTATAGTTGGGTGGAGAGAGAATGAATTGGTATAAAATGGGGTATTAATAGGGACTTCTGCATATTGCCTCTCGATGAGTGACATGGTCGAATGGAATAAGTGGATAAATAGGGATGAAAGGGGGTATTTATCCAACATTAGGTAAGACGTGGACAAATACCAGTGTTGTGACATTGTGCTATTTCCCGTGCTTCTTATGTATACGCCTTCAGTGGTTTATTTAATTTCATTATGGTGGTTAATTATTGGTACAAAATGGGTGTAAATAGAAAATACCGTATGGTCCACCCGAAAGGCCTTCTTTAATTTCATTCTTGTGTTTAATATGCGATCTTTATACTAGAAATAATCTCTGAAAATGAGATTCATTATTTAATAAATGAAAGTGGGATTAAATATGCCATCACAGAAAATGGAATTATTGAGGGACGATGAAGGATGGCTGACTGATGAGGTAATTAAACATTGAGGATGGCTGCAACTGTGCGTGTCGCTGAGGTGACTAAATTCAGGGAGGGCTACAAGGTGCAGTAGCTAAGGTTGCAGGAAAAAAATGCGGACTACGAGGTGCAGTAAAAAAATGACAATTGCACTTCGTAGTCCTGGTTTTAACTACTGGCGTGTCCAGGCGCAAGAGTTGAGCAGTGGCGTATCCGGTTGCAAGAGTTGTGAAGAAGGCCAGTTGAGGTGGAATGCCAGAACTTGTACTCATTTTTACTTAATTGTGCTCCCAGGAATTAAGAGACTGGTTTTGAAACTTCAATTGTGGATAATGGTCTCTGGCTAGAGGCGGGGCCCATGAACTAAAGACTAGTAACAGTCTGTCCCAATTGTAACAGTTTTAAATTTGGTAGAATTAAGTTACAGCTTAGGAAACTCTTAACATTGTATCGAGGTCTGAAGACAGAGGCAGAACCCAAAGCTAAGTCCTTTCCCTAGACTCTATCCAAAATGTTGCTGGTTTAAATTTTCTAAACATCTCACACAGAAATCACTATACCGTGATGCATCATATAAACAAATCCACAAGGGCAGTGATAAGGGTTCGAACCTACATTCGAGAGGATCCCAGATGCGCCTTAATCGACTGTGCCACGATATGGTTAAAGGAATTGCTACCGGGAGTTCAACTGACTTCACACGGATCCTACAGTCTCTCCGAGACAAACCAGGGACAAACACAATTCCCCCATGCACCCGGGCTCTGTCAATAGGCTATTGAGTAATGAAGAAACTCAATGAGTAATGAATTGCTTAGGTTTGCCATTAAGTATTGAGTAATGAAGTAAGTTGTGTAACGAAGTAAGGGCGAAGAGCTAGAATAGCTTATTGACAGGGCCCGGGTGCATGGGGAAATTGTGTAAAACCCTGGTTTGTGTCTCGGAGAGACTGCTGGATCCTTGTGAGGTCAGTTGAACTCTCGGTAGCAATTCATTTAACCATGTCGTGGCAGAGTCGATTAAGGCACGTCTGGGATCCTCTCAGACGTAGGTTCGAACCCTTGTCACGGCCCTTGGGAATTTGTTATAAACATCTGCCACATAGTTACAGAACTGGAAGGAAGAACCGAGATCCATGATTAGTGGTGGAGCCTTTCCTTATACTCTATCCAAAATACAATTTTAAAATTTTGTAAATATCAGACCACTTGTTAAGATACAAGAACGGATTATGGCTGGAGGGAGGACAGGACACAAGGTCCGTCCATGCGGGAATCTTATTTGCTTATAATAGATCCCAAAACTGTGTCTAATATTAAACATATACCTTGTTCCATTTGAAACCCCTTGACTGCAGGACCCAAACTGTCTATAACTTTGTGGAGGTGAAAACCTCTCTTAAAAACCCTGACTGCAGAACTTATTTACCCAGACTCGAGCGGACCCTTCCAGGGGTGACCACGGAACTGGAACTCTGTCCAGACGGATCCTTCCAGTGGTGACCAACAAGGAGAAATCGAACTGACGAGGAACTGGCAAGGGGAAATTAAGCATACAAGAAGACCAGTGAAGGTCAATTAAGCTGTCATTAAATTAAGTACAAGAATATTCTTCTTTGTAAGTTACTTTGGCCTAATATCACTATATTATTCATTAATCTATCAATATCTCACCTATATTATCAAGACTTACCTGAGGGTCACCATCTGTAGTGCCCAAGGCAGGGACTGGATTTGGAACTATTAAAATATCTTTCCATTCTTACCATTTATGGCTTTGGCTGGTAGGTGGTTCCATGGGCTTATAACCTTAGTGATGACAAAGCATCTCCTGTGTTCTTTCCCACATTTTGGCTTGTTGAGCTTGAAGCTGTTGCTTCTTGTATATGTTACATGTGGCCTCCTATAGAAATTGTTTTGATTAAAATACTCCCATTTGTTCAGTATTTTAATTATTTCTATGAGATGAGCCTTGTCGTGTCCGGTTTGCAGTGTTGTTAGTCCAGTGGCTCTTTCCTGGCATGAGTCGACTTAACTGAAAAATTTTTGTCACTGCGTTTTACATCTTCCAATGTACATACTACCTTCAGTAAATGAGGTCTCAATGCTTAGCCCTCAATACTGTATGACTCAAAATTGCCCCACATAAATATTCAACAAAAACAGCAGTTGTAAATAATAAATTATATCATTAGACAGCATGCAGCATTTTAACTTAAATCCTGCAATTTTCTAACTATACAAAATACTACAAATATTCTCACGTGTACTTTATACCGTCAAATTCCTAAAGTGCTGTACAAATCCAGACCTCAAACGCTCCATAAAGGGTTGCAACAGAACCATTGGCACCACACATAAACGAATGCATATTTGATGCTTCAAGAATTTGTGGAAAGATCTATGAAATGCACTAAAATGCTATACATTACTCTAACGAACTAAAAAAGTTACAAAGAAGCACCAAATTAGCATCATGTAGTCGTTTATATCTCTACTGCACAATAATTATAAATATAATAGTTCCTCTTATTGAGTGTCTTTGATATTATTGTTAGTACATTTACATTATTTAATACTATTTTTATATTTGCCATTAAAACAGTTTAAACAAAATAGTATACACCCCGTAGCATTAAGTAACGTTCTGGGGCCAGATTCGCGAAGGTACTTATGAATGTTTTTCTTCTTAGCTACGAATGTTTTTCTTCTTAGTACCTTCGTGGCGGCTACGTCGGTATTCAGGTAGCTACACTAAGAAGAAAAACCTTCGTAAGTTTGGTCCGTCATCTAAGTGTGCTGTCGACCTAAGTGTAAGCTAAGTGTAGCTTTACGTAAACTGGATATAACTCAATTTTTCTCTACTACATAACACTGGGATCGATTATAAGATTTTGGAACATAAACAAAAGATTATAGCTGGTGAATCTCGTAAAGAGGAGTCTTTCGTGTTAGTTATATATGCATTCTCTGCTTGAAACTTGAAGTAAATATGTTTTTTTTATGATATTAGAATTAGTTTTATAATAGCAAGATATTATACCAGTAGTTATTAAGACATGAAATATGAGAGAAGGTGATGAGCCCTGCCTGATGGGATCATTTACTATCACCAAATGTCCCTGTTCACCTAGTAGTAAGGGTGTACCTTAGCTATACATACCAATTTATTTAGTTTGGTTTTATTTTGCAATTAAATCTGGGTGAGACATAAAATAAAAATATGCTGCACAAATGATGTTAGGTAAGGAGAAGGGTAAAAATGTCAAAAACTTTATTCATTGAATACTTAAAGCTATAATTATGACTATATGGACTATTAAAAAAGAGAGAGGGAAGTAGGGGTCCAAGATCTCTTCCTGTTCCACAACTTGGGTGTGGAACAAGTAATTATCAAAAGAAGTTTACAGTCTCCGTGGTGTAGTGGTAAGACACTCACCTGGCGTTCCGCGAGCGCTATATCATGGGTTCGTATCCTGGACGGGGAGGATTTACTGGGCGTAATTCCTTAACTGTAGCCTCTGTTTAACGCAACAGTAAAATGTGTACTTGGATGAAAAAACGATTGTGCGTGGCTGGGATCGTATTCCAGGGACCTGCCCGAAACGCTACGCATACTAGTGGCTGTACAAGAATGTAACAACTCTTGTATATATCTCAAAAAAAAAAAAAAGTCACCATGCCGGGAAGGTTATGAGTATTAGTGGCTTTAGGAATTGTATGTTTGAATTGCTCTGTCTATAAATTCAACCTCATGTTTGTAAATCAACTATGTATGTACTTTTCCTGAATAAATTTGTTTTATTTTTATTTATTTATTAATATATTTATTTATTAGTATTAAAAGAAGGCACCAAGCTGGGAAGGCTATGTAGCATCATTGTGTGTAACAATAAACCAATTTTTTTTTTGCAAATAATGCACCTGTATGGTAAAACAAATCCTGTCGGCTGTAAAAATATTGATGCAGTTATTTAAATAAAAAATATAATGAAAGAAATATTACTGGTTTATTTTTATCCTATCTTTTTGTACTGTATATCCAAGTATATATATATATATATATATATATATATATATATATATATATATATATATATATATATATATATATATATATATATATATATATATATATAGTATATCCAAGGAAGTGAAAAATTGAGACATAATGCACAATTTAATGAATGATTAAAAAATGATTAGCATGGATTAGCACTTCAAAAGAAATATGATTATTACATATCAACATGAGATCATAATGATCCATGGTTAACATGATTTAATAAGGTTAATACAGTACTTGTAATAATACAAACTATAACTTACAATCTTTATTACTGATTTTTTTTATTAAGATGATTAGGTATACACAGCAATGTGCTGCTACCCTATTCTATATGGAATATTACACAGTGTAGATAAAAAACTAGCTATAAGTTTATCTAATACTCCCATCTCACAGGATGGTTAGACATACATGGAATCAAGGTAGAAAATAAAAATATCAGCCTCAATACAAAAAAACAAATAAATTCTGACTAAACAACACTTCACGATTTTCACAAGAGGTAAGCACTGAATCATGGAAACATTATATTATAATTACTCTTACCAGTCTCTACAAGACTCCTCTCAAACAATGTTTTTTTAACATGTTTAGGTATACACAGCAATACTGCTGCTTCCCTATTCTGTATAAAGGACCACACAGTGTAGATAAAAAACCAGCTACAAGCTCATCCAACATTCTCACCTCACAGGATGGCCAGTCATACATGGAATCAGGAGATAACAAAATACTTAAGGCTGATCTATTAGCCTGCACTGGCAAAATCTGGGTGCAGCACAAGAATATCTTCCAATATTCCAGAGTGTATGAAGTAATTACAGAGCTCAAAGTACCTCATACCATTTGGTATGAAGTCACTGATAACAGGCCAATCACAGATATAGTGTTGGAGAGTATGTTCTCTCAAGTAGGACTGAAAACAGATGTTTTTTCCACCAAGAGGGTTATAAACCCATGGAACCGCTTACCCGCTGAAGTCGTAAATGCCAAATTCCGGTAAAAAATATAATTAAGACAATTGGCGGGCTCTTTAACAAGCCGCCGGTTTTCTGTCCTCGTCCAGGCTACTAGATAGTTAGTGACCCTTGGGTAAATTCAGTAAATGTATACAATAATTGTCAGCGCATCTTCCGAGCAACAAGGACAGCTACACAGTATCTCTTAGAATTACGTAGGTAAACAAAAAATGTAACATATTTGTTTACTACAATGTCGGTGCTGGCTGTAGAAGTTGAAAAAACATAGTTTTACTTCGAAATATACTAATTTTATAAGAAAATTCGACGTAAATAGGAGGCAGTAGAGCTCCGATAAGCCAGCGCTAAATCTTCAATATGAAGAATGTTGCTGCTCTCTGATTGGCCAAACGAAACACAGTAGTGACCTCTATCGGCACGCAGGTGAACCAGACCCAAAACCCAAATATCTTCCTAAGTGGACCTACCTGAATTGCACCTATCTTGAGATGATTTCGGGGCTTTAGTATCCCCGCGGCCCGGTCTTCGAACAGGCCTCCGCCCGCAGGAAGCAGCCCGTGACAGCTGACTAACACCCAGGTACCTATTTTACAGCTAGGTAACAGGGGCATAGGGTGAAAGAAACTCTGCCCATTGTTTCTCGCCGGCGCCCAGGATCGAACCCGGGACCACAGGATCACAAGTCCAGTGTGCTATCCGCTCGGCCGACCGGCTCCCTACCTCCCGACCTAAGCATCTTCTTAGGCCATACTTAGGAACCTTCGTAGCAAACCTACTTACGAAGAAATACATGGAGCTTCTTGAATCTAGGTCCTGGAACATTGTATTATTTGATAAATTAATTTTGTTTATATATACGTTAACTAGTACCTCATTGTATTAAGTATTGCCCAAAAAAATATATTAAAAAGTTTATTAGTCTTAAAGTATGTGAAATGTGCGCAATTATTTAAAAAATATACAAACATCTTCTGTAGAATCACTGTAATCAGGTCTTCTGTTATTTATATATATATATATATATATATATATATATATATATATATATAAATTATTATTATTGCTCTTAACATAGTGGTACTCTACATACCAACATTGTTAATGTTTTAGATATCTGGTGACATACATATTAAATACAGTCTCTCTTCTAGGTAGACAAACATGGCTGGAGGTGTTCGGATGGCATGTTTGCTATGGACAGTAGTGTGGGCTCCAGGCTTCGTGTCTTCAATAAGTGCCGTGCCCAAACCTGATCTTCAGCCAGGGCACCATGGCAAGCTGCTCTATATTCTCATGGACGGGTTAGTTCTATAATCAGTATTCAAACAACTATGTGTTGTTATATATATTATTCTCATATATTACAAGCCAGATAGCAGTGATATGTTGCCATTTATTTGTCATAAGTGCCTCGTCATTATCATCTGGGCTGATAATGATATTCTATAACCATGCAGATAATAGTTGTCATAGTTATGTGAGTAGAACATTTCCTGTACACAACTAACTCTCTCCTTCGTATTGAGGTATGGTATATCAGGAAAGGTATGGTGTGCCGTTGTCATACACAAGAAGCTTTTTACATTTATTTAAGTAACCCCTAGCCAAGGGTGAGGCTGTGAGAGTTAGTATCCTACTCTTGTTAAACGAGTGCCACACTATCTACAGGAAAACGTGCTAAGACATGCTCCAAAATGGTTTTCGGAACTGAAAAAAAGAGCTACGAATAGAGAAGCAGTAAATATACCAGAGTTACAAGACACAAGGAAGAAAAGAGGCGATATGATCACTACGTACAAAATAGTAATAGGAATCGACAAAATTGACAAATAAGAATTCTTGTGACCAGCAACTTCAAGAACACGTGTCGTAGATCCAAGCTGAAGAAACGAAGATGCCGAAAAAATGTTCTAAACGTTGTCTTTTTAAACAGAGTGGTAGACGGCCGGTACAAGTTAAGTTGTCAGTAGTTTCAACACTTCATATGACCTAGAATAATGGGAAGAGGGGACAACACGAGCACAGCTCTCATCCTATAACTACACTTGGCTAATTACTATGTCACGGAGATGAAAATTTACTATATTTAAATTTGTTGTGGATCATTACTGGGACGAGACTGAGAACTTAATCCTGGGCCAGTATTTGTTGATGATTGCCTCTCCCAGTACATATAGTGTGTGTGATTTTCAGAATATAATGACTTAATTCATTATTTTCTCTGTAATGTTCTCACTTTCATTCTCTCGGCAAGAAAAAATGCGTAAAATGCATGGAAGGAGCCTGGAGTCCGGAGACTGGAGTCTGGAGCCTGGAGTCTGGAGCCTGGAGTCCGGAGCCTGGAGGCCAGAGACTGGAGTCCGGAGCCTGGAGTCCGGAGCCTGGAGTTCGGAGAGGAGGAGTAACTGGTGTGTCGATGCATCACACAGATGGGGACCATTCAAGAAGGAGCAAGAAATCGGCGTCAGAATGGGTCAACAAAACTTCCCCACGCCCCGACAGCAGCCATGGACACAGCCAAAGAAGAAAAAGGCCCACACCACTGACCAACTCAATGACAGCTACAAGGAGGAAGATAATCAGAAATGGACCAGGGGACAATTGATGACCAACTGAATGAGGCTGGCACCCAAACAACAAACCGAACTAGACATCATTCTGGACAGAAAAAAAACACGGAAAAAGAAATGCCTCCAAAAACAGTTGCCGGGACGAAACAAGCCATTCCAATACTGAGGCCCAGCTGTCATGCCCTTAACACTGAAATAAGGCAACCAGAAAGGAATACACCATCAGGGCGTGGCGTTTTCATCCGGGTAGCAGGAGTCCCGCACCAGCCACCATAGGCCGCCAAGAACGTACAACAATAGTCTCAGGAGGAATACTATTAATGCACACGCCCAAAAGAACTGGGGACTGGGACTAGGAACCCAGCGCCAGCAGCCCCGGAAACTAGTACTAGACCAGACCTTAGTGACCTGGTCACCCAAGGTCTGCAGCCTTGGGTGACCAGGATAGTACAGGTCTGGAAAAGAGAAGGTCATGAGATCCTAGATGAAAGGAATGGAACACCGCCCGAACAAGTGACACAGCTGCCAGAAATCAAAGCACCCTACTCGGGACAAGGCCATGCAGCACAACTGGCCAGGCGCAAACATTCACCCACAACCCAGAGCCAGAAGGGCCAAGGGCAAAACCCCCAAACATGAAGACAAAGAACCCACAGAATAGCAGGAAAAACAGAAACAAAATACAACGCAGTGTGTGGAAGAAGGCACAGAGCTTAGAACAACACCAAGGCTCAGATGGTAAAAAAGACAAACGAACGCCAAAAACATCGAGATCAGTGGGAGAGGAAGAGCCAGGCACCAAGCCTGCTTCCCACCTGGGGCTCAAAGCCAGGAAGAACAGGGGTGCTGGGCACAAGCGCCTTCCATCACCCCCCACCCCCACCGAAGGCTAAGTCCCAGGAAACACACAACTGAAGGAGAGGACAACGAAGGCCTCTAATCAGTGAGTCAGAGTCAGAATGAAACCTATATATCTCCACTGATTCACAGGAATAAAACCAAAAGGAGAACATGCAGAATAATAGTGTGCAAAATGCAACACCATTAACACAGCTTCCTAGAAAATGCGCCTCGAGTTTAAGTTCCTTCATTTCCAGAAACTTAGTTATTAAATTTGACTCAGTGTGTGCACATACAGAGGTTGAGCATTGTGCACACATGCTGAGATTGAGCATTGTGTGCACATGCTGAGGTTGAGCATTGTGTGCACACATACAGAGGTTCAGCATTGGGTGCACACATGCTGAGGTTGAGCATTGTGTGCACACATGCTGAGGTTCAGCATTGAGTGCACACATGCTGAGGTTGAGTATTGTGTACACACATGCTGAGGTTGAGCATTGTGTGCACACATGCTGAGGTTGAGCATTGTGTGCACACATGCTGAGGTTGAGCATTGTGTACACACATGCTGAGGTTGAGCATTGTGTGCACACATGCTGAGGTTGAGCATTGTGTGCACACATGCTGAGGTTCAGCATTGTGTGCACACATACAGAGGTTGAGCATGCAGGTCGGCGTTCAATCCCCGACCGTCCAAGTGGTTGGGCACCGTTCCTTTTCTCCGTCCTATCACAAATCCTTATCCTGACTCCTTCCATGGGCTATATAGTCGTAATGGCTTCGTGCTTTTCCTTGATAATTCCCACCCTCTTCACCCACAGTGTTATTAATCCATGGAACCGCTCACCCGCCTAAGTCGTAAATGCCAAAACCCGGATGAATTTTAAAATCCAACTTAAAAATCCATCAGGGAAAATAGGCGGTGACAAGCCGCCGGCTTCCTGTCCTCGTCGAGGCCACTAGAGTGCTATTGGCCCTCAAGTAAATTTGGGTAAACTAACACTCAACGGTCCATGTTCCCTTGGCCATGAGAGAGGGAACTGAGTTTGCGAGGGTGGTGAGTGGGCGATGCTGCCGTCTGGGGACGGTGGGACAACAGTAACAGTAACAGCTATTACTGTTACTAAATATGTCGTGTCGAAATATAATACAGATGGCATATTATCTCTTTAACGTCTTCAAAAATTCAAATGGTGTTACAAAAATTAGTTTCCAAATAATTCATAAAAAAATTTCAATAAATTTTTCTCATCAATTCATAAATGCTGTTTTCTCATTTGGTTTTGAATATTACAATATAAATGTACATTGTTCTCTTAATTTTTTTATGCCCAAAATGCTCTGAGTATCAGTGGCTTCGTGCACTGTATCTTACCACTGTATCCTCCACTGTTCATGTATGTTAAGTAATGCATGTATGTATATACTCTTGCTTAAGTAAAATATTATTATTATTATAATTATTGTCACAGGTGTATGACAGGTGAAAATTAACCGAGAAAGGCCACTGGGAAGCTTCCCAGAAAGATATGTTTAATTTTATTGTACTCTCAATTTTTGCAGATTCAAGTGGAATTACTTGGATGAGCAAGATGCCTCTGTGCTCCCTGGCTTCACAAAGTTCTTGCAAGAGGGAGGCAGAGCCCACTGGACTAATCCTCTCTTTCCAACCCTTTCTTATCCAACCTGGACCTCCCTTGTAACTGGCCAGTATGCTGAAACACATGGCATTGTTGGTAATTATTTCTACGATTCTGAAACAAAGGAAGTCTTCTCACTCTTTGATAAAGAAAGCACTGGGAAAGAGAAGGTAAATTATATCATATTAATACGGTAATAAAAATATGATTAAAAAAGCCTTTCCTAAATGCAGTGTTAGAATGTATCCCTATAGTCGAGGAGACAAAGATATCTTTCCTGATTATCGCCTCCCGAATTGAAATCTATAGGAATCCTACGGTTTATTAAAAGATGTTTCTGCTGTTCTTTTTTTGTTATTAATCTCCGCTATTTTACAATATAAAATTCTTTGTATTTACAACTGATTTTAACCCAGTGACACATCTGTATTTTTATTTAGTGGTGGACATCGGAACCTATCTGGACAACAGCAGAAAAAGCAGGTCTTCGTACAGCTCAGTACTTGTGGGCTCGTTGTGACGTGGCCATCCAGGGCGTTCTCACACATTTCTGTGAACCCTTCACTAAGATACCTGGCAAGGCAATCTTCTTGAAGAATATAAAAGAAGCATTAAACAAATTTGATGAAGGTTTTGACTTTGTACAGGTGAGATTTGCGCTCACAATAATAATAATAATAATAATAATAATAATAATAATAATAATAATAATAATAATAAGTAATGGTAATTTCTCAGACATAATAACATATCTATACTTATTTCTTTGTGAATTTTATTTAAAGATTTACACTGTCTTGCTCGCTTTCCAAAGTGCTTTGTTAAGGTCTGAGTATGTTGTCAGGACGAAACTTACATATCGACAACTAATGCGGCTGCTACCGATTGATTGATGAAGATTAAGCCACCCCAGAGGTGGCACGGGCATGAATTGCCCGTGCCACCTCTGGGATGCGGCAACTGTGGGTATCCAAAGTTGCCAGCGTCCGTCTGGGTGTCCACAGTTGCCGACGTCCGTCTGGGTGTCCACAGTTGCCATCGTCCGTCTGGGTGTCCACAGTTGCCGACGTCCGTCTGGGTGTCCACAGTTGCCATCGTCCGTCTGGGTGTCCACAGTTGCCATCGTCCGTCTGGGTGTCCACAGTTGCCATCGTCCGTCTGGGTGTCCACAGTTGCCATCGTCCGTCTGGGTGTCCACAGTTGCCATCGTCCGTCTGGGTGTCCGCAGTTGCCATCGTTCGTCTGGGTGTCCACAGTTGCCGACGTTCCTCTGGGTGTCCACAGTTGCCATCGTCCGTCTGGGTGTCCACAGTTGCCATCGTCCGTCTGGGTGTCCACAGTTGCCATCGTCCGTCTGGGTGTCCACAGTTAATTGCCATCGTCCGTCTGGGTGTCCACAGTTGCCGTCATCAGTGGGACTTCAGTCTGAGTGGCTCCCATTCCATTTTCATTCACTGGTACCAGCATAGACGCAAAGCCAGTTGCTTCCGTTAAAACAGCCCGTTAACTGTTTTGAGGAACAAGTGAACTATCTTGTTTCGCAACTCTGTCCGCAGAGGCATTGACCTGGATGTGGATGTTCAGGATGGATGTCGGTGACTCTGGTATTGTTGGGTCCTGCTGCTGAGGCTTGTTTGGGCGTCAAGTCCATACAATCGTAGTCTGTCAACCCGTCCTCGACTCAAGTCCATTACATCCAGCGGTCGACCCCCACAGACGCATTCATAAATTTTTACATGCTGTTCATTCAAAACGGGAATTTTCTCAAGTATAAATTAATATTATAATATATTAACATATTGTGCATATATAGGCATAGGTTAGGTTAGGTTAGGTTAGGTGTTTAGGTTCTGTTGGCGATTATTTATATTTTTAGTACGTGGGTGAAGCATTTATAGCGTTGTGGTTCGAACAAAATTCGTCAGTGAAGCACTTGTTCCGGATATGTTCGAACGTCAGCAGTTGTGAGTCGTGTGTAAATCGTTTTTCATTCGTAAACAAGGGGTTTGGCGGGTGCATGGAATCACTTATGGATCTTTGTTTGGAGGACGGGCTGCGGGCTGAGTCTGTAGAAGAGAGCTCGGAAGGGAACCGAGCTTGTAGAAGGGAGGCTCGGGAACTGGTCAGGTCCAAAGTTGCGGCGACTTGTCTCAGGGTGGTCGGCAGAGTGGTGGTCTGCTCATAAATCATCTTCAGTTCCCCATCCTTTTTTGTGCAGAGGTAAGAGATGGCAGCGTGCTGTTCTCCACACTTCGTGCATTTCTTGGCGTTGACAGTGCAGTCCTTGTAATTTGTACACCAGAGCATGCGCTGCATTTAGCCATTTGTTCTGGGAACTTGTTTGAGACAATCCGTCCTAACACTAGGCTGTTTAAAACAGCGGCCTTCCACCCCAGTCGCATTCGTCATTTTTAACATATTATGTATTAAAAATTGGTTTGAAATCATATATAAATTAATATTATTATACATAAAAATATAGATAGGCATAAGTTAGGTATTTAGGTTCTGTTGGGGATTATTTGTATTTGAAGTACGTGGATGAAGCATTTATAGAATTGTGGTTCGAACAGAGGATGTGAGCTAAACACTTGTTCTGGAAGTGTTAGAATTTCGTCAGTTGTGAGTCGTGTGTAAACCGCTTTTCATTCATAAACGGGTAGTGTTGGCACTTGAAGCACTGTCTCAGATTGTAGATCTTCTCTCAGCCCGTTCTCCAAACAAAGATCCAAAAGTGATTTTATGCACCCGCCAAACCCCCTGTTTATGAATGAAAAGCGGTTTACACACGACTCACAACTGCTGACGTTCGAACATATCCGGAACAAGTGCTTCACTGACGAATTTTGTTCGAACCACAACGCTGTAAATGCTTCACCCACGTACTACAAATACAAATAATCGCCAACAGAACCTAAACACCTGACCTAACCTAACCTATGCCTATTTATACACAATATGCTAATATATTATAATATTAATTTATACTTGAGAAAATTCCCGTTTTGAATGAACAGCATGATAAAATTTATGAATGCGTCTGTGGGGTTGACCGCTGAATGTAATGGACTTGAGTTGAGGATGGGTTGCTTCTCTATGGTAATCTGGTTTGTTGAGGAGGTGATTCCGAAGCATTTGAATCCTCTTTGCTCTTTCCTGCAGCCATCCTCCAAACAAAGACCCAAAAGTGATTCCATGCACCCGCTAGTCCCTGGGGGTCGCTAGGCCCTGGGGGTCGCTAGGCCCTGGGGGTCGCTAGTGTCTGGAGGTCGCTAGTCCCTGGGGGTCGCTAGTCCCTGGGGGTTGGTTGTCCCTGGGGGTCGCTAGTCCCTGGGGGCCGCTAGTTCCTGGGGGTCGCTAGTCCCTGGGGGGTCGCTAGTCCCTGGGGTCTCTAGTCCCTGGGGGTCGCTAGTCCCTGGGGATCGCTAGTCCCTGGGGGTCGCTAGTCCCTGGGGATCGCAAGTCCCTGGGGGTTTGTAGTTCCTGGGGGTTGGTAGTCCCTTGGGGGTCGCTAGTCCCTGGGGGTTTGTAGTTCCTGGGGGTTGCTAGTCCCTGGGCGTTGGTAGTCTCTGGGGGTCGCTAGTCCCTGGGGGTTGGTAGTCCCTGGGGGTTGGTAGTCCCTTGGGGTCGCTAGTCCCTGGGAGTCGCTAGTCCCTGGGGATCACTAGTCTCTGGGGATCGCTAGTCCCTGGGGATCGCAAGTCCCTGGGGGTTGGTAGTCCCTAGGGGGTCACTAGTCCCTGGGGGTCGCTAGTCCTTGGGCGTTGGTAGTTCCTGGGGGGGGGTCGCTAGTCCCTGGGGGTCGCTAGTCCCTGGGGGTCGCTAATCTCTTGGGGTCGCTAGTCCCTAGGGGGTCGCTAGTCCCTGGAATTCGCTAGTCCATGGGGGGTCGCTAGTCCCTGATGGTCGCTAGTTCCTGGGGTGGTCCCTAGTCCCTGGGGGGTCGCTAGTCCCTGGGGTGGTCCCTAGTCCCTGGGGAGGTCGCTATTCCCTGAGGGTCCTTAGTCCCTGGGGGGTCGCTAGCTCCTGGGGGGGTCGCTAGTCCCTGAGGGGTCGCTAGTCCCTGGGGGTCGCTAGTCCCTGGGGGTCTCTTTTTCTTGAGGGGTCGCTGGTTCCTGGGGGTCGCTAGTCCCTGGCGGGTCGCTAGTCCCTGGGGTTCTTAGTCCCTGGGGATTGTTAGTCCCTGGGGGGTCGCTAGACCCTGGGGTTCTTATTCCCTGGGCGTAGCAGTCCCTGGGGCTTGTAGTCCCTGGGGGTTAGAGTCTCTAGGGGTAGTAGTCCCTGGGATTCGTTGTCCCTGGGGGTTGTAGTCCCTAGGGGTAGTAGTCCCAGGGGTTCGTTGTCCCTGGGGGTCACCAGTCCCTGGGGTGGTCGCTAGTCTCTGGGGGGGTCGCTAGACCCTGTGGGTCGTAGTCCCCGGGGGTCGCTAGTCCTTGGGGGGTAGCTAGTCCCTGGGGGGTCGCTAGTCCCTGGGGGACCGCTAGTCCCAGGGGGTCGCTAGTCCCTGGGGGTCGCTATTCCCTGGGGGGTCGCTGGGGGGGTCGCTAGTCCCTAGGGGTCACTATAGTCCCTGGGGGGTCACAGTCCCTGAGGGTTCACCAGTCCGGGGGGTGGGTCGCTTTTCCTTGGGGGGTGTGGCTAGTCTCTGGTTTTTCGCTAGTCCCTGGAGGTCGCTAGTCCCTGGGGATCGCTAGTCCCTGGGCGATCGCTAGTCCCTGGGGATCGCTAGTCCCTGGGGATCGCTAGTCCCTGGGGATCGCTAGTCCCTGGGGATCGCTAGTCCTTGTGGGGTCGCTAGTCCCTCGGGGTCGCTAAGTCCCTCGGGGTTGCTAGTCCCTGGGGATCGCTAGTCCCTGGGGATCGCTAGTCCCTGGGGGTCGCTAGTCCTTGGGAGTCGCTGGTGGGTGGGGGGGGGCTAGCTATCCCAGTACCTGTGAGTTAGACAGCTGCTTCCTGGGTGTGTGTAACAAAAAGGAGACCTCGTCGAGGACCGGGCCGCGGGGACGCTAAGCCCCGAAATCATCTCAAAATAATCAGGATAATCCTTCATCGTCTTAATGCTCTGAATCATACTGAGTTACACTTCAGCTCTGGTCCCTTACATTCGTCCTCTCCCCAAGAGGAGATTGTATATAGAAACCGGTGTCCTGTCTCTGTAGGAGCATCGTGTTCGTTGCTGCCTTCTATACCTCACACGGCCCCTGCAACATCCCACTCCAGCTCTGGGCGAACTTTGACCACTGTTCCTCAGGAGTGACCCGATCCCTTTCTCTGTCTTCGTTTTCCTGCACGGGTGGCTCTTTTGCAAGAATTTCTCTCGATTCACAATAGGCTATGTCTCCTCTCGTATTGTTCCTACTGCGCCCCCATGATGGGTCCCACTTGGGAAATTTTTCAATACTTTGACCCACGTGGTGAATGCTTATACTGCCACTACAGTTTTGAATTATTTTCCTTTAACATTTTCCGCTTACTCACACTTCATTGCCCTGTTCACAGATGGGTCTAAGTCTGCCGACGGTGTTTGCTACTCGGTAGTTTTCCCGATCAAACCCTGATGTGCCACCGCCTCCTAGAGACTAGCATCTCTGTGGCAGAGCTTAAGCAGTTTGTATGCTCTAAAGCAGCTTTCACTTCATCAACAATTCTTTGGCATTGTGGTTGACTCTCCCATCGTAATCCCCTCATGGCTTTGGAATCTTTCAACCCTTTGCATCCTGTGATGGTCAAAATCCTATTCTGGCTGTTTCTTATCTTTGGCAAGTATAAGACAGTGGGATTATAATGGGATCTCAGCCATACTGGGATTCCCTTGAATGAACCAGTGGAACACCCGTGCTGATTAGATCATTTATGATTGCATTTTTTCCCATTTCGTGGAAAGGGGATCCTTTTTCGTATTTTTACCAAGTCATTCATTCTGCATTCTGAACTGTTGGCAGGATTCTTGGGCTGGCGTTGCAGGTAATAAACCGTATGCTCTTAAGTGACCACTCCTCTTCGCCATCCTCTTACCCTGGTAATGGACGAAGAGAAACAGCTTTAGCTAGGATGCTTATTGTATTGATCACACTAGCTTAACGTCCTGTTACTCTTTGTGCGGACTCCATTTCTCCACTTACAGATGTTCACCTTTTAGTAGAATGTCCTGATTTACAGAACGTACGTGTCTTGCTTTCCTCATATCCCTAGGGATCATTTGTCCCTCGATTGAATCCTTGGTGAATATCGCCTCATATCTGGGTATCAACAAAGATCACAAGTACCAACAAAGATAACTGAGATGTAGCTATCTGTATGTCCTTTGTTCACGTTTTGGCATCTTGAGTGATATTTAGCGCCTTTTGAATATCCAGCGACACAAACGGTGCTACATTGCCTTCTAGACATGGTGCCTTCATTAAATAAGTACTTGCTTGGTGATGAAGATATTTGAATGCCTGCATGGGCTAAATTAGGTATTTTTTTCTCCATTAAACTTGCTAAGAGAAGCACAACATTTTATTCCACTTCGAAGAGCATTCCAGTAATTTATTTGCATGACATTTTTGCTTTGATTGAGTCGGACTCTTAGAATATTAAATAGATGTTAGTTTCTTGTGTGGTGTCTATGGGCTGTATTACAGCTCTCTCAGTAGCGGCTGAGTCGTGAATAGAGTTGCATTTCAGAGATTTAAAAATAAAGGGTACACTTGAGTGTGAAGTGCACTCGATGATCTAAATAATGGTGCTGCATGTTGCCTTGGGCCAGTTTGCCATTGTTCCAGTTCCTTATTTGTGTCTCCGGTAGTTTTGAGTTGTATGTTCCCAGTGATATACTGCAGGTGAGATATGAACAGACGAGCGTCACCAGGACACAGCGAGGTACACAAGATTTTAGAGAATATGTTGACATTTTTATATATTTATTTTTTATTTGGTAAATGACAATTGAAGTTTAATGTGTTGTCAGTGTTACTGTTAATACCAGATAATCTTCCCTCCATGCACAGTACTCTGAGAGGTATTAACCGAGCTCTCTTACCAGGTGTACACTGAGCACACTGACCACACAGGACACAACAAAGGCCCGGACTCCCCAGATATAAAGCAAGCAGTAAGAGACCTGGATGACGTGTTGATGTATTTAATGAACGAAATTGAAAAGAGAAATCTTGCAAATGCAGGTATGTGTGTGTAGATAATGTTGAGGTGGTGGGTGCTGTGGTAATATATGTGGCTGGACATGGTAGTGTGGTGTAGTTAATGTTGAGGTGGTGGGTGTTGTGGTAGTATATGTGGTAGTATATGGTGGTATATGTGGTAGTATATGTATATGTGGTATATGCCACATATACTCCTCCGGACTCTGTCAGTCCGGAGGAGGAGCCTCCTCCCTCTCTGGCCTCCGTCAGCCCGCCTCTGGTTCATCCTCTCGCTCTCTTGCCTCCATTTCTTTGCTAGCTTTGCCTATGTCCCATCACTCCGATTTCACTGATCCTGGTCCTGATGTTACTTAGTCTACTATGATCTTCTTTGCTTTTGTTTCTCCCTTGTTATCTTTGTTTCCGTTCTCACTCTTTTGCCTGTCTGTTCTTCAATGGACCATTCGTGGATTTTATACCAACTTCTATGAACTCAAACTTCTGATCACGCAGTATTCACCTCTTCGTGTCTGTCTCCAGGAGCCGATGCTTGGCGCTCGTCCTGATCGCTAACATGGTTATTCCTTTCTCTTCCCCCTCCAACTTTTGCTGGAGTCCTTAACTCTACTGCTATCTTGATCAGTCATCATACTCCTTACGTTCCGTGACTTTTTCAGTCGCCTATTCAGTGTTCTGTGGCCCATATCGTTGTGAGTAAATGGTATACAGTCTGTTCCATTTATCTCCCCCCAAATGTCCCACTTTCTCTTCCAGATCTTAAACACTTGTTGGACTCATTACCAGAGCCTGTGCTCCTGTTGGGTGATTTTAACTGTCGACATACCCTCAGAGGAGATGTTCTGACAAACACCCGGAGCTGCTCCCTAGAACCATTTGTCCTCTCTTCTTCTTTTCTGAATTCTGGTGAACCCACTCATGTGGACTCCTGCACTCGCACCCTCTCCTGTCTTGATCTTTCTCTCTGCTCGTCTTCTCTTTATTTAGATTTCACATAGCGGGTTCTTGATGACCTCCATAAGTGATCATTTCCCCATCCTTGTCACCTTCTCTTTTCACACTCCCCTCTCCTTCACCAGGTGGCAGTTTGTCAAGGCTGCCTTACCTTGAGGTTACCTTGAGGTGCTTCCGGGCTTAGCGTCCCCGCGGTCCGGTCGTCGACCAGGCCTCCTGGTTGCTGGACTGGTCAACCAGGCTGTTGGACGCGACTGCTCACAGCCTGACGTACAAATCACAACCTGATTGATCAGGTATCCTTTGGAGGTGCTTATCCAGTTCTCTCTTGAACACTGTGAGGGGGTCTGCCAGTTATGCCTCTTATGTGTAGTGGAAGCGTGTTGAACAGTCTCGGGCCTCTGATGTTGATAGAGTTCTCTCTCAGAGTACCTGTTGCACTTCTGCTTTTCAACGGGGGTATTCTGCACCTCCTGCCATGCCTCCTCGTCTCATGTGATGTTATTTCTGTGTGCAGGTTTGGGACCAGCCCCTCTACTATTTTCCATGTGTAAATTATTATGTATCTCTTCTGCCTGCATTCAAGAGAATACAGATTTAGGCTCTTTAGTCGGTCCCAATAGTTTAGATGCTTTACTGAGTTGATTCTATCAGTAATGGATCTCTGCACGCTCTCCAGGTCAACAATTTCTCCAGCTTTGAAAGGGGCTGTCATTGTGCAGCAGTACTCCACTCTAGAGAGCACTAGCGTTTTGAAAAGTATCATTATCGGTATAGCATCTCTAGTAAGAAAAAAAGGCTAACTGAAACCTTTTCAACTTATGCACTGCTCTTTCCAACCTCTCTGATCTGCCTTTCCCCAGAGCCTTCCTCCTACTTCATGACACAGTTTTGATAATGCCCTCTGCTCTGCTCATCGCTCTACCTTCTGGGGCACGCAGACGTGCGTTTCCTGGTGGACTGCAGACTGTGCTCGGGCTGTCTGCTGTAAGCGTGTAGCCTGGAAGAAACACCGTCGCCGACGGACGCTCGATTCTTTGATTTTTTCTGAAGAATAGTGCTGTAGCTCATAGAGCCATCCATACGGAGAAGTGAAAGAGTTGGAAATCTTATATCTCCGCCTTTACCACTGAGACTTCTCTGTCCCTGATCTGGAAGAAAACACGGAAGATAGAAGGTAAGTTTGTTCGTGATGTCTCGCCAGTCCTTCATCTCCGTGGTTCTTTTGCGGCGGATCCTGTGTCGATTGCAACCGAACTGGGTTTAAAATTTTCGACTGTTAGCTCCAGTTTTCAACTTCCTCCTTCTTTCCTTACTAGTAAGCACCTTCTTGAATCTTGTCCCATAAATTTTCGCACTCATCTTCAGCTTCCCTATAACGATCCTTTCTCTCTCAGAATTCCAGTCTGCCCTGGCCCTCTGTGGTTATATGGTGATGGGCTCAGATGATATTCATTATGAAATGCTTCGCCATCTCCCTTCATGTACGTTTCAGTATTTACTGAATATATATAACCTTGTCTGGGAGTCGTCGTCAGTGCCTGAGGACGACTCCCAGACATGGTTGTTGCTGTTCTTTTTGAACTGGAAGAGGCGTATGACACCACTTGGAGATACCATATTCTGTCCCAACTCTGTTATTTTGGCCTTCATGGTAATCTCCTTCTCTTCCTCCAAAGCTTCCTCTCAAGTCGTTCCTTTAGAGTGAGGCTTGGTACTACTCTCCACCTCTTTTCGGCAATACAAAGGTGTATCCCAAGGTAGTGTTCTGAGCACTACTCTTTTTCTGGTTGTCCTCAATGGTCTTCTTTCCAACCTTCCCTCTGGCATTTTTCTCAGCTCTCTATGTTGACGATCTTACCTTCTGCTGTCAAGGTGATTAATCATCTTTTCTCCAACAGCGGCATCAACTCGCAATTGATGTTGTCGTCCTGGGCCACTAATCATAACTTCAAATTTTCTACAACTGAGACTTGTGGTAGGACATTTACTCGGAAGCAGATCGTTCTTCGACCCCCTCTATCGCTTTATGGTAATCCTCTTTTGTTTAACGATTCTGCTAAACTTTGGGGTTAATCTTTGACACTCCTTTGTCTTGGTCGCCCCATATCTCTTACCTCGGAGTTGAATGCTCTAACTCCCCAATCGTCGTGATAAAATCTTAACTTACTTAAGGTTTTGTCTCATACTTCTGGGGAGCTGATAGGGGCACGCTCTTCTCTTTACATTCCGCTTTTGTGCAGTCTAAACTCGAATATGGCTGTCCTGCTTACTCGTCTGCCTCTCCCTCCACCCTTTGTCGTCTTGATACGTTTCACCATACTGGGTTATGCCTCACCTCTGGTGCCTTTCGTTCGACCTTTCGTTGGTTTCATCCAGAGACAGGATCAAACCGGCATCCTGTCTCTACAGGATCGTCGTGATCGCTACTGTCTTCGCTACTTTGCGTGGTCCTTACAACACCCTCACTCTCGCTTATGTCGTGCTTTGACTATTACCCCTCCTGAGGCTCCTGTTCCCTTTCACCACCTTCCCATTTTTGAGCGGTTGTCTCGCTTGCAAGGTTGTTTCTCAGTTCGTGTTACCAATATTTCTCATTACATTCCATCCTTGCCCCCTTGGAAGGTCCCTCTTCCTAAGTTTTTGTAAAACCTTGACGCTCCATTTCCGGCTTCACAGATGGATCTAAATATGCCGACAATGTAGGACTACTGTTTTATTCTGACTATACCTGTATGTGTCATCTGCCCCCGGAGACTAGCATATTCTAGTTTTGCTGGGTTCCCAGCCCTATTGGTGTTCCCTTAAATGAACATGCGGATACTGCCACGAAGAAGGCTATCTGCACTTGTTCCATTTCCTGCAAAGGTATTGCTTATTTCTACTTCTACCTAGTTGTTCATTCCTCAATTCGTGGCTGTTGGCAGGATCGCTGGTCTTCTGTTACTGATAGCAAACTACGTACTCTTGGGGGTAGCGTGTCCCTGTGGCCTTCCTCCTACCACCGTAACCAGCGGTGGGAAACGGCTCTGGCGAGGTTATGTAATGGCCATACCCGTTTAACTCACTGGCACTTAATGGAGCAGCATGCTCCATATTGTCCAAACTGCATTGTCCATCTTACGGTCATGCATATCCTTGTTGAATATCCTGACTTCAAGGATGAGCGTGTGTCTTGCTTCCCGACTGTCCCTCGCGGTCACCTGTCCCTTGATAGAATCCTTGGTGAATCGGATACCTTTGATATCATTCACCTTATGCAGTTTTGTTCACTTATTGGCATCCTTCATGATATTTATTGGCTTTAGAATATCCTGCACGTTTAATGGTGTTACATAGCCTCCTCGGCTTGGTGCCTTCTTTAGATAGTTACTTACTATTCGTGAGTTCTCGATTAGGTTAGGCTCGGACAATTTTGTATATCATTTTAGAGGCTACAGAGGACGGGCTGGTCTATCTGTTTTCTTATATTGGGGCTGTGGAAGGATTGGTGGCTGTATTTAACTTGCGTGTTTTATTGCATTTTGGCCAAAATATAAGAGATACTCTGTTTATTTTCCCAACATCAATGAATAATGTTGCATATTATTACCACCAAAATAATTGATGTGATTTTTTTTTTAATATTTAAAGGGTTTGCCAGCAGCCAGTGCCATAAATCGTCGTGGGGGTATAAATGTGACCCTGGCACACTGTTCTCTTTTGAATTTTTGACGCCGACCAGCCTATGTTCATCCCGGACCCCAAACCATTCCCTCTGTCAATTTACGTGAAGATAGGTCGAAGCGTCTGGCCTCATAACATTCAACAGACAATCAGACATATATTCTCTTATAGTACAAATTTCTGTTCACAGTCTATAATTAATATATTATGCTAATAATGTGCACTTTTTGCAAAACTAATATCTGTATCTAGATGTTGATATGTGCTAACCAAAATTCTTTTACCCTGCAGTGAACATTGTGATAGTGAGTGATCACGGCATGACTTACACTGCTCCAGGAGCAATTGAACGGCATGAAATTGATGACTACCTTAATGCCAGCACTGTTGAGAATATTGCCGATAAGGGGGCCCTCATGAACATCAAGATTCCTCCACAGAACATTGACCTTGTCAGTAAGATGTGTATAGTTATCATGTTATTTTAAGAAGTTGATACATGTCTGATTATCGTAATTTAATATTAAATACTTTGATATTGAAAAAATCCACTTTGCTGCTTCATCAAAGCTTATTTAACTCATTTCACTTCATATTGAACTCGTTTCACTACATTTCTAAAATAATACAAATACAAATATAGTAACATTTCAGAGTGAAAACAATTATTCTAGTAATGAAAAAGATGTTGCTGATGCTTAAATGAAAACACTCGCACAACGTTTAATTTACAAACATCACACAGTAAATGTACCACTAATATTGATCACTTAAGCTATGCAATCTGAAATATTCAACATATTTTACAATTTAGTATCACTCAATGACACTGTCTTTAATATATATATATATATATATATATATATATATATATATATATATATATATATATATATATATATATGTCGTACCTAGTAGCCAGAACTCACTTCTCAGCCTACTATGCAAGGCCCGATTTGCCTAATAAGCCAAGTTTTCCTGAATTAATATATTTTCTCTAATTGTTTTCTTATGAAATGATAAAGCTGCCGATTTCATTATGTATGAGGTCAATTTTTTTTATTGGAGTTAAAATTAACGTAGATATATGACCGAACCTAACCAACCCTACCTAACCTAACCTAACCTATCTTTATAGGTTAGGTTAGGTTAGGTAGCCGAAAATGTTAGGTTAGGTTAGGTTAGGTAGGTTAGGTAGTCGAAAAACAATTAATTCATGAAAACTTGGCTTATTCGGCAAATCGGGCCTTGCATAGTAGGCTGAGAAGTGAGTTCTGGCTACTAGGTACGACACATATATATATATATATATATATATATATAAATATATATATATATATATATAAATTTATATATATATATATATATATATATATATATATATATATATATATATATATATATATATATATATATATATATATATATATATATATATATATATATATGGGGTTTAGCTGGTATCCCCTTCTAGGCCCCTATAGGTGAACACGTCCCAGGGGTTCAGCTTTTAGAAGTTATTTTGGTAGACATGGGCGCCGGTTCGCTGTACACTGCCTGGACTTCCCTTAGCAATACCAGTGTAAGGGCCCAGGGAAACCCTTCAGGGGTGCAATGGGTCTGAAGGATGACAGCCCTGGATCCTTCTCGCCATGTGCGAGTTTGAGAGTAGCTCTGTCCTTTTGTCTAAGGGCGGCTCGCTGTTTTTGCATCCGTCATGCTGCCTGTTGGGTTGGTGACATCTTCGACCCAGAGTCTTGCGAGTTTTATTTCTTGTTAGTGATTCAGTTTACCCATGCCACTGATAGCTCTATCCAGGTGCAGGTAGCTCAGGCATTGCATGCTAGGTATAGGATTTTTTCCCGGCTTTTTCTTTTGAGGCCGGGGCTTTGAAGGATGACTCTGCCCTGGGTTCTGGTGTGGAGGTTTCCGGGGTTGGGGAGGGGCTGACTAGGAGGCCTTGGCCCCATTGGACCCCGCCTGGGTTTTCCTACCCTCTGAGTGGGGCTTACTGTTGCAAGGAGTGGGGTTTTCTACCCCCTCCCCCTCTCTGCATATGAGTTAGATTTGGCGTCAGCCCCTCACCGGGATCGGTTCCGTGTCCCTTCGAGACTGTCGTTTCCATCTTTCCGGAGGTTTTTGGCTTCCCGCATCTCGTCTCATGAGGTGTGGGCGGCATTGCTTCTTACCTCATGTGCGACCCGAGTTTCACCTTTATAATGGATCCATCTTCATTGAGGTTTGGGTCTTCGTCTCCCTACTGGGTTCGTTATGAGGTTCCGGAGTCGTCCTGGCTAGCGGACTGCCCTGTGTTGACTTTGGATGCTTGGAGTACTTTCTGTTGTACCCGCTTGCTTGAGTGGCGCAATGTGCTGACGATGATCCAGGCGATTTTGAGTACCTCAATAGGTGTTTGTTCGCCCCTGCCCTTCAGTGGGATGTTGGCGTGGTGCAGCTTCACGTACAGGTTCCCTCCCTTTCGGCTACACTGGTGACTGAGGACTTGTGAGCACGAGGCCTGCTGGATTCGGTCTTGCGGTTCTTTTCCCTCCGGGAGCTGTCTTCGGATTTGCTTGATGAGGATTTGGAGGCGCTTCGGGCAGTTCCTGGGTCTGATACTTTGGTCTCGGCGATGTGTGCATTGTCTGTGCTGATGAAGCTGTTTGGGGCAATCCTGCAGAATGCGGTATCGATGTTTTTCGCTTTGCGCCTTATGTGTTGGGAAGTGGTGTTCGCTTCCTCCTTGGAATCTGCTTGGTCCCTGGCTCTTAAGTTTCGTAACCCTTTTGTCTCTTGCTGTTTGCAGAGTCTGCTGTTGGGCAGTATCTGCAGGCAGCATCTTCCTGTTGTCGCCCAAGGTCGTTTCTTGTTGGTTCTTTGGGGGTCCCGGGGGCGGATTCCTCCCGGAAGGGTCTTGTCTGGACTGGGGAGTTCTTCTTGTCGTGGTAGGTTGCTGTTGCCAGTTTCTGTGCCAGCATCACCTGCGGACCCACCTTCGTCTAGTCAGGGCGGTGATCGCTCTGTGTGTAAGTCACATTCTCACACGGGGCGTCGACCCTTTCATGGTTTGCCCCATTAAAGGGGCGATGGGGGGGGAGGAGGAGGCTCGCGCTGTTCCCTCATGCCTGGTCTCATGATTTGTGGACTTTTCGGGTCGTTTCCGACGGCCTTTGGTGCTGTTGGGTGGCCCCTCCTCCATCAGGAGGTTCGGGGCAGGTTTCTTTTCCTGCGCTCTGTTGAGTCATTTCCGAGTGGTTTCCCATCTGTTCCCAGTCATCGGACTGTGCAGACCTGCAGTTCATTAAGGACTTGCCCCATATGAACCCCTGGGTCTATTGCCCCTCTTTTCGGATTGCCACTCTGTTCCAGATTCAGCTTCTGCTGGAGCCAGGCACTTGGTCCCTGGCCCTGTACAACTGGTCCCTGGACCTCTGGGACATGTATTCGTACGTCACGATTCATCCGGGGTTCAGGGATTGGCTCGGTTTTGTCGTGGACGTTTCAGTTACCACTTTTGTTGTTTCCCGTTCGGGTTGAACCTGGCACCTCGCGTGTTCACACACCTTATGTGGGTCATGGTGGCTCTTTCTGTGTCTCTTAGGTCTTCGGGTGCTGGCCTACCTTGACGGTTGGCTGGTCTGGGCTCTCAGGCAGTCCGCATGTCTGCTCACCACGGATCTGGTTCTTTCCCAGCTCGCCAGGTTCAGGTTCTTTGTGAACTGGCAGAAGTCCCATGTGGTTCCCCTCTCAGGTTCGAATTTGGCTGGGGCTTGTATGGGACTCTTGGACCGCTTCCTTGTCTCTCCCTCCAGAGTTTCTGCTTTGGCTGCTCTCCCACCTTCGCTTGTTTCTGAGGAGCTCCTGGATCACTCGGCGGTTGCTCGAGGGTTTGTGCGGGAGCCTGAACTTTGCAGTAGTGGTCTATCTGCAGGGTCAGGTTTGGCTTCATCGGCTGTTATGATTCCTTTGGGGACATTCCTTCCACCTCTCTCACGATCGCTGGGTTCAACCTCCGATGGCCTTGTGTCGGCTGCTGCGTCGCCGGCGTCCTCTTCGGGGTTCAGTGCCATGGCACCTACTCGAACTCTCGTTTGATGTGTTCATGGATGCACTGTCTCTTGGCTGGGGCTTTGTAACCAGTGCTCACCAGGCCGGCTAAGGGGCGGTGGGGTCCGTCCTTCCTTCCATCAGGCCCACAGCACAGTGCAGAGTCCGAGGTGGTGTGGATGTCACTTCGAAGGGGTTCAGGTCACTCACGGATCAATGATCAGGTTCCACTTGGATTGCTCCCCGATGGTTGATTGCCTGTACTGGGGGATTCAATGTGGTCCTTGGCTCTTTGGGGCTGGTCGCTTTGGGTGACTCGTCTGCCGAGTTCTCGGGGTATGGCTCTTTTGGCCGTTCATGTTCAAGGGGTGTCCAACGTCCTGGCGACAGCCTGTCTCTGTTCATTCCTCTGTCCACGGAATGGTGTCGACGTCGACTCATTCAGATAGCTCTGCCGGACATGGATGTGGACCTGTGTTGGTGTGGTCGAGGCATCTCCCAGTATATGTGGCGCCCTTTCCCAACTCCGAGGCTGTCGGGGTCGATGCTTTTCGGCACAACTGGTCATGGTGCGGTTACCTATACCTCTTCCCCCTCAATTCCGCTGTTGCTCCATGTCCTAGCTCACTTGGAGACTTACCAGGGCATGAGGATCATTCAACCTTGTTCGCACATGTGTTGCTCACATGGCCCCACAAAGTTGGTGATTCGATTAAATATCTATGCCCAAGCTTACCACCAAGTGCTGTTGGGTTGTTGGGGATATAGCCTCGACTACCAATGACTTTTGTACAGTCACGGTGATCGAGTGGTTAAGGAACCAGGGGACGCCATGGTGCATAGTGCTCCTGGTTGTCTGGGTTCGAATCCTTCTGGAGGTGTGGAGTTTTCAGTTGCTTATTGGCATGGGGACCATTCAAGCTTGTTCATATATATATATATATATATATATATATATATATATATATATATATATATATATATATATATATATATATATATATATATATATATATATATATATATATATATATATATATATATATATATATATATATATATATATATATATATATATATATATATATATATATATATATATATATATATATATATATATATATATATATATATATATATTATATATATATATATATATATATATATATATATATATATATATATATATATTATATATATATATATATATATATGTCGTACCTAGTAGCCAGAACTCACTTCTCAGCCTACTATTCAAGGCCCGATTTGCCTAATAAGCCAAGTTTTCCTGAATTATTATATTTACTATAATTTTTTTCTTATGGAATGATAAAGCAACCCTTTTCTCTATGTATGAGGTCAATTTTTTTTATTGGAGTTAAAATTAACGTAGATATATGACCGAACCTAACCAACCCTACCTAACCTAACCTAACCTATATTTTATAGGTAAGGTTAGGTTAGGTAGCCAAAAAAAGCTAGGTTAGGTTAGGTTAGGTAGGTTAGGTAGACGAAAAAACATTAATTCATGAAAACTTGGCTTATTAGGCAAATCGGGCCTTGAATAGTAGGCTGAGAAGTGCGTTCTGGCTATTAGGTACGACATATATATATATATATATATATATATATATATATATATATATATATATATATAAATATATATGTCGTACCTAGTAGCCAGAACGCACTTGTCAGCCTACTATGCAAGGCCCGATTTGCCTAATAAGCCAAGTTTTCATGAATTAATTGTTTTTCGACAACCTAACCTACCTAACCTAACCTAACCTAACTTTTTCGGCTACCTAACCTATAAAGATAGGTTAGGTTAGGTTAGGTAGGGTTGGTTAGGTTCGGTCATATATCTACGTTAATTTTAACTCCAATAAAAAAAATTGACCTCATACATAATGAAATTGGTAGCTTTATCATTTCATAAGAAAAAAATTAGAGAAAATATATTAATTCAGGAAAACTTGGCCTATTAGGCAAATCGGGCCTTGCATAGTAGGCCGAGTACGACGTTCTGGCTACTAGGTACAACATATATATATATATATATATATATATATATATATATATATATATATATATATATATATATATATATATATATATATATATATATATATTTATATATATATATATATATATATATATATATATATATATATATATATATATATATATATATATATATATATATTTATATATAATGTGGAATTTTTCGTTGTTTAAATAATGGATTTTCATTTATCATGAAATAATTCTTCAAAATCCTCATTTGCTTTGTGTTATGTATCTTTATTTTTCTCATTCCAGACTTTTTTAATCATCCAATATGTTTTGTTGAAATTACAAAATTATCTTGTTTGAAGGTCAGTGTATGTTTGTGTAACGATAACTTCCTTAAAATTTTGGCAGGTGTATAAACGGGTGTCACAAATACCAGGGGTGACAGCATACAAGCACGATGACATCCCCAATCACTTCTTTTTCAAAAATAACAAATATGTCCACGACATTATTCTCTTAGCTAATCAAGGTGAGTGTTAAGAGTTGACTTAAAACAGATTTCTGTGGGGAGCCCGTACGGCTCCACGGAGCTTACCGGGCTATGTATGTATGTATTAGTCCATGGCATCAGTCAATTGGAGCTCTTTGGTTACCAGGGACCACGAGCTAGAACATGGCCCCTTCAGAGAGGCTAGGGGAGCAATGGCCAATGGAAACCTTTCCCCATATGTTTGGAAGCATTCCATGTCTGCTATCGACTGGAGTTGGCACCCAGAAAGGTAGGCGTAACAAAACAAACCTTACATAGTAAAAACTGATACCTAAAAGCCAAATCAGGAGGCAGAACTCTCAAACTAAAATAGCAAACAAGCAAACGTCACTAATGCTATCGTGTCGATCGTCCGTGCAGTCCCCCCCGCTCCAGCTATCAGTTCCTTGGCTGATGTAAACTGTGGTCGTTGTCGACTCTGGCCTCTGACTCTTGCAGTTCTGTGCCTTTTGGTGCATTTCTGCTGAGTGTGGTGTGCAGGCCAGGAGTAATTCATCAGTACTAGGGCTGTATACGCTTAGAGCTGCCTTCCCTAAGCGCCCTGTAAGTACTACCCCTGAGTCTCGGGGTTACCTTCCACAAGGTGTTCGGGAACCGAATCCGTAAAGGTCTTTCACTGCTCGTCAATTACCCGCCCTTGGGACTAGCTGGGGCTTTTGTTGCCACTGTTTGGCCTTGGATAGGAAGTGGTATCGTTGCAAGGTATTGTGTAGCTTGTGTCCCATTAATCACAGCGGCCGGATCTGTTCCTCCTGGGGGCGTTGTGCTTTCACAGGGTTTTCTGGGGTTCAGCCTTAGCAGTTCTCTTGGTGGTTTAAGCAAAACAGTTAGCAATACCTTGCCTGGGATTCCCTTAGCAGTCAACCTAAGGGCCTTGGAAAACCCCATTGGGCTCATTGGACCTATGGACATTTGGGTTCCAACTCGCCCGGTGCGAGTTTGATGGTTGCTCTGTCTTCTTGTCTCAAGGCGACACACACTAGTTTAGCCTCCATCATGCTGCTTGCTGGGTCAATGACACCTTTGACCCGGAGTCTTGCAAGTCTTATTCTTTGCTCGTGCTCCAGATTACTCATTCTTCTGATATTGATATTCGGGTACTGGCAGTTTTTGCATTGCTTGCTAGATATTGGTTGGTGCAGCATGCTAGGTTGGTTGATCACCCTGATGCCACGAGGCTGCACCGTTTGGGTTATTGGGACCCGGACTTGAGAGTGTTAGTTGCTTCAACTTTGGTTTCATCCATGCTTCCAAGTCCTTCCCTGGTTTGTGTTGTTTGTCCTGCTTCCGGCTCCCAAACGTCTGAGGGTTTCGGAGTCAGGGTGGGGTTTAGAGGGTTTTGAGATTTGGGCGTCTTCGGGGACGTCCCCTTGCCAGTCGGCGACGGAGGCATTCAAGCTTGCTCCTCCTGCCGAGGCTTCCTGGTCTTACTAGCAGACTTTCTTCTTCTCAGACTTTCCCCTGGACTCTGCCTTTTCTGTGAGGGTAGAGGGTGTGGTGGACGGCTCTGCCCTGGGGCCTCTGCAGTGGGTTCCCGGGGCTGTTGGGGAAGCTTGCTTGTGGTTCTGGGGCTATTTGCCCCTGTTTGGGGTTTTGTGCCTTCTGGGTATATATTTTTCGTCCCACCTGCCGTCTGCTTTGTTTTCCCCTCATTTACTGTCGTGTTTTGGCTCCCTTGCGTCGGCAGCGACTTCTTTTGCTGTGGTGGCAAATTTATTTTCACAGGCGCTTTCCTGCCTGGTTGCCAGGGCAGTACTGCGGTTTGTTTATATGTGCTTAGGAGTGAGCGCTTGTGTTCTGGGGGCATGTTTATACCTCTGGCTGGAGTTTATTCTCCTTTATTAGCCGTGTCTGTTTTGTTCTTTCTTTTTGGGGCATTCTGCTCATTCTGTTCTTCTAGGAACGTTTGATTGTTGTTGTTTTTCACCCGATTTTGTGTTTTCTGTCTGTGTTTGAGGTCTGGGTCCTAGTTTTTAAACCCTGTGTCTATGCCCGTTTGCTCCGATTACTCCCACGGCCATTGGCCATCGGTTTTTCTTTCGCTTCTGGCTGTTTTAGTTAGGGGTTCTGTCTGGGTCTTGTGTTTGGTCCTTCCTTCTGTGGTGCGGTTCTACCAGCAAATGTGGTTTAGGCTCTTCCCAGGTTCGTTTCCAGGTTCCTTTGGGCTCTTCGGTTTTGATCCAGAGGTTTTTCTTCCTCTTGGGTTCCCCCTTAGGAGGTTCGGGTTGCCTTTGGTGGTTCTGGGTTCTGGGTTCTTCTTGGCTTGCAGACTGCACTTATTGGGTATTGGCTTCTGCTTGTCGAGGTGGGCCTCTGGTGCAGCTTTTGTGCTGGTGCCAAATTCCTCATGTCAGCTTTTTGCTTTTTTATTTTTTTCTCGGAACGGGCACCAGTCACTTTGCGCATTGCCCCATTGACGGGATGCTGGGGAAAGGCTTGCTCTGTTGGCCCACGCTTGGTCCCGCATTTCGTGGGCATTTCGGGTTGTGTCCTCCATCCTGTGGTTGTGTTGGGTGGCTTCTCCTCCTCTGTGGAGGTTCGGAACTGGCAGGGTGGGCATCTTCCCCTTCACTCCATCGAGTCCTCTTGTTCCAGTCCCCCTCCAGGACTGTGTGGTTCTTAGGTTGATTCTGGTTTTGTTCTGTCTGTACCGCTGGCTTCCTTCTGGATTACTCTGTCCCATTTCCGGCTTCTTTTGGGGCCGGGTTGTTGGGTGGTGTCTCTGACCCTTCAGGTTGCTTATTGGTATGTCCTATTTCCTCCGGGGTTCAGGTCCTGGTTTGTTTTCGTGATGGGGCGGTTTACTTCTTGTCTTCATTGCCTTTCTTTTGGCCTGCTTTTGGCACCTCACTTTTCTGTATCGTGTTGGACCATCTACATCTGCTTGGTATTCGGATGTTGGCCCACCTCAATGGTTGGTTGGTGTAGGCTCTTAGCTAGTCTGCTTGTCTGCTCGCTGGAGGGGTGGTTCTTTCTGGTTCACCAGGTTCAGATTTCTAGTGTACTGGCGGAAGTGCATCCCTCCCTCCCTTTGGTTGGCGATGTTTTCGCGTTTTTTATATTCAGCATAAAAACTGCCAGTTGGGTTGCCCAAACAGCGGCGCGGCAACGTGATGACGTTATGATCGATTGCTAATTTTCGTTTGGGGAATTCTGTCCACTCGTTCGGCTTTCAGTAGCAATATTTTCACCAGAATAGGGATATATTTTGGGGCACCTACCTTTCTGGGTGCCAGGCCCTGTCGATGGCAGACATAGAATGCTCCCAACTACAAGTTTTTTTATAGGTCATTGCTCCTCGTGCCTATCTGAGGGGGCCAGGTTCTGGCTCGTGGTCCCCGGTAGGCAAGAACACCATGCACTTTGATGCCAGAAATCTATTAGACACACATATCTGCCTGGATAGCTCCGGGGAGCCTCTGGGTCTCACCCAGGAAAAGGCGTTTCATTACATTCAACGCTTGTTTTTTATCAAAAATATAAAAATTACTATTTTAATGATGCAGAAAATTTTCCAAACATCTATATATATATATATATATATATATATATATATATATATATATATATATATATATATATATAATATATATATATATAAGCCTATACTTGCATAAACCACAAGTGAAGATTAACAATCTTTGGACAACACCCACCAGTGGGACTCGAACCCAGAAAGCACAACTACCTTCCAGTAGCTGGCATAACTAGTATGCTTTAACCCACTACACCATCAGAACTCGTGTCCAGCTTATAAGCTGGACACGAGTTCTCTCACATTGACAGTGGCTTGACGAAAAATGCAGACTGACCCCTCACTCATCTGGTGCCTTCGGGAAGTGGAGATGTTTGAGATATATATCTCGAACTATCTACTTCTTTTGTAAGGTCTGATGGCGTAGTGGGTTAAAGCATACTAGTTATGCCAGCTACTGGAAGGTAGTTGTGCTTTCTGGGTTCGAGTCCCACTGGTGGGTGTTGTCCAGAGATTGTTAATCTTCACTTGTGGTTTATGCAAGTATAGGCTTATAAGCTGGACACGAGTTCTCTCACATTGACAGTGGCTTGACGAAAAATGCAGACTGACCCCTCACTCATCTGGTGCCTTCGGGAAGTGGAGATGTTTGAGATATATATCTCGAACTATCTACTTCTTTTGTAAGGTCTGATGGTGTAGTGGGTTAAAGCATACTAGTTATGCCAGCTACTGGAAGGTAGTTGTGCTTTCTGGGTTCGAGTCCCACTGGTGGGTGTTGTCCAAAGATTATATATATATATATATATATATATATATATATATATATATATATATATATATATATATATATATAATAATAATAATAATAATAATTCTGGTATATATTATTCAACCCACATTTGTACATACAATTTTAGCAATTGTTGTTAAATAAGTAATAGGTTTACAAATTATCAGTAGCCAGTATTGTTGGTTATAAACCAAAAGGACGCAAGTTTGATTGCTGTGGCAGGAGGAAGACGTTTGGGCAAGTTTTCCTTCGCCTAATACACATGTTCACTTAGCAGCAATACCTGGGAATTTGGCAACTGTTGTGGGTTGCATCCTTGGAACGATCGGTAGTAGATCTAGGGAACTTTGGTAGAGGCCTGCTCCCTCGCCGACAGCCCGACCATACACATCACTCGCCTTTCAAAGCTACAGTCAGTGACACCTAAAATGCGTATTGTTTTTTAAAGTCACTTTTTGTGTTTAATTATATTTACGGTGTCACAGTGTATGCAAATGAATGTTTCAGAGTACAGATGCATAAAAAAGAGGTGTAATGAAAATAGAATGTGCAATGGCTCTGAATATATGAATATTAATGAGCTTTCAACATTTCTCATTTTTTTCAGCATAATAAAAATATGAACATTTCTGTAAAATGTAATAAACATAACTTTCTAGTTGTTATGTTAGGTAATTTGTTGATCCAACTGTGATATTTTGGTTGATCCCCTGATGAGTTGGTTGGCCCCTCCTGCTACTTTGGTTGGTCCCCTGATGCATTGATTGGTCCCCCTGCTACTTTGGTTAGTCCCCCTGATGCTTGATTGGTCCCCCTGCTACTTTGGTTAGTCCCCTGATGCATTGATTGGTCCCCCTGCTACTTTGGTTAGTCCTCTGATGCATTGGTTGGTCCCCCCCATGCCATTTTGGTTACTCCTCGGAGGAAATGACTGGTCCCCCTGATACTTTGGTTGGTCCCCTGATACTTTAGTTGCTCCAACCCCTGATATTTCGGTTGTTCCCATGATACATTGGTTGGCACCCCTGATGTTTTGGTTGGTACCCCTGATGCTTTGGTTGGTCCCCTGATACATTTATTGGTTCCCTGGTACATTGGCTGGTACCCCTAACAATTTTGGTTGGCCCCTGACAACTTTGGTTGATCCCCTGATACACTGGTTGGCCTCTGATAAGCTGCACGCACATTGGGCTCGTGTATTTCAAGAGTTTCGTCATGAAAGTTAAAAAAGAACGGTTACGGAAGTGATTTATGGAAGTTCCGAGGTCAGATGATGCATTATGGTCTCACCGGATCGTTTACTGCCAAGTGTAGATGATATTTAAAAATAAACTAAAAAAACTGAAAAAAATATTATGATAGATATCGTGAGGAGACATTCACATATGGGACTAATAGAACAAGAACCCGGCAATGTGATGTTATAGTGGCCAGAATACGCCTGGGATATAGACGTATCTGGCAGCTTTCTCAAAACCCAAATGTCGAGTACACAATGTGTCAACTTTGTGAAAGAGAAAACATGCACTCTCTTGAACATTATATTGTAGAATGTCCCATATTGACTGACTTTCGCCCTCCTGGGCTAAGGTATGCTGAACTGTGTAATTACTATATGAGTACTGGAACACCTGATGATATATTGGACTTGTACCCAAGATTAACCATGTAATGTATCAATTATACAATGCATGTATGTGATGTAACTATATAACCTGAGCTTGTAAAAGCACCTTCATCACCTTCAGTGATTAAGTGCTTAATTGCACACTAGTTTCTCTATCAGCTATCTCACCGTGTCAGAGTAAAAGAGACAAATGTATGTGAATGCATGTGTGTGTGTATATATGTATGTATATATGTATATGTACGTATATGTGTGTGTGTGTATGTATATGTATGTATATAAAGTATATGTGAAAGCTGATCAGAATTACATTTCACCTTTGTAAATGCACATTAATGACACTATGTAAAAGACACATCGAACACTTTATGTAAGACATACGTAAATCTGTGTATCTATGTATTTACGTATGTAGGTTAGCTTAGCATTTTAAAAGCACCGAATCACCTTCTGTGGTTGATTGTTCAATAAACCCCTGAACTATATGTTTAACACATCTTTAACCCTGTCCATGGAGGACAGAAGAAAATGTGTATATGCTGGTTAGCATTGTAAATGTGTGGCCACGTTTATGGTAGAAAATAACAATAATAAAAAAAAGTGTAGATGACACTCTTCAGCGTCATTTCAATGCTAGAGAGTTAACAGGCTTTCTGTCCCTGACAAATATAGACCCACAATTTATAACTTGAAGAATATGATGTTGTGTATGTTGTATATATGACACTTAAGCAATGCTAAACCAAAGACTCTAAAATTATGCCACAAGTTTCCCACAAGTGTAGCATAAGTGTGGCTGTCTCTAATGTATTTTGTTCCTTACTAACAGGACACTTCATCATGAGCTCCAAGTCGGATAAGCAACTTCCTCCAAGAGGTGACTTTGTCTACATTGGTGCTCATGGTTATGATCCAGAAAATCAAGACATGAAGGGAATATTCTTTGCTAAAGGTCCAGGTGCGTTGAAGGTTTTCATTTTTTTATCTGAAGATAAATCATGGCTTCTAGAAATTTATTACTTTTATTAAATTTTATGGAGTAATTTGTAATTTTTGATGTTCTTTCATGTTTTGTTCAATAAATGTAATAAGTTTAAATTTTATGTATATGTAAAAAAATTCTTCTATATTATAAGTAAACAATTGATTTTACTTCTGCATTATATGTAAACAATTACTTTTTGCTTTACATTATATTGTATATAGCAAGCTTTTCTTCTCGGAGGGGCACCTTGAGATCTCCAAGCTAACTAGCTGGTTACCTGACATACTTAAAACGAATAAAAGACACTCAACAACCTGAATGAATACTTTACATCAGAGTTCACACTAGAGAGATTAGCCAACATGCAGGCGATGAGTCACAATAACATGGCTAAATTACGTTGACCAGACCACACACTAGAAGGTGAATGGACGATGACGTTTCGGTCCGTCCTGGACCATTCTCAAGTCTCACAATCGACTTGAGAATGGTCCAGGACGGCCCGAAACGTCGTCGTCCCTTCACCTTCTAGTGTGTGGTCTGGTCAACATTAGCCAACATCGCAATACATACACAAATGTCTGAAATAGGTGAGGACAATTAAGGGATAATCCCATAACGTACAAAACAATCAGAAAAAACATTGACATATTAAAAGAATCTAAACGCCCAGGTGTGGATAGAATTCAATCCATAATCGTAGAGAAATAACCGAAGAACTCAGCCTACCATTGAACCTTTTGCTCAGAAATTCGGAAATCATCTGTTTTCTTAAATTGTAACTTTGTAAATGCCACCGACGTCTTCAAATATGGTAGAAAGAACTCAGCAGAAAACTACAGACCATTCAACCTAACCTCACATATATGCAAGATCAAGGAGAGAATCCTAGAGTTTGGAATCATTCACTATCACACAGTGCTCAATCTATTAAAATCAACACAGCATGGTTGTTAAAAATATATCCTACTTTACTAACCTGCTCATATTTTTTTTTAAATGATAACCAGCTATTCAGATGAAGGACTACCAGTAGACATAATATACATGGAATTCTCTGAAACTGTTAATAAGGTATCAAATGATTGACTGACAAAGCAATTGTAAGCACATGTGATAGAGGGTAAAAAAGATCAAACAATGATTAAAACATGGAAAGTAAAGGAGTCATCCTAATTGAAAATGAATCGAATGGGAAAAATGTGGTAAGTGATGTTCCACAAGGTTCCATCTTGAAACCAGCCCTTTTTGTCGCATACATTAAAATATTACTAACAATATTAATTAACACATCATTAGACTTGCAGATGATTCTAACATCTATGGTAAATGTTACAGCTTCACTTAACCTGTAACCGGGGTTCTTTTCATATTAAACGTTATAAGGTACTTTAATGCCTCTTCTTACTCGATCCAACCCCGAGTCATAGTTAAGTTATTAAGAACTGAAAGTAATAGTCCATCTCAAGTAAAAGGGGGTAAACAACACTAAACAGAACCATCATCAAGTATACTTCTTAAATATATATATACATACACATATGTACCAGTACATAACACAGCAGGTGTCACTTTTATACTTGATACTATAAAAGAACTATTGCATTCTTTCCCGACGAGTCCACTTCTATCTTCTATCGTACACCACTCAAGGTTCCCTCGTTGATTCCTGAGGTGAACTCGCATCACGCTGGCGAGATCACCTTTCTAAGTAAATCATGGGTCAGTCCTACACAATACCATCACAGTACCAAAACACCACTTCTACTCCAGCAACACGCTGGCCGGGGTCTCGAGCCGCGCGCTGGCCGGGGTCTCGAGCCGCACGCTGGCCGGGGTCTCGAGCCGCGCGCTGGCCGGGGTCTCGAGCCGCGCGCTGGCCGGGGTCTCGGGCCGCGCGCTGGCCGGGGTCTCGGGCCGCACGCTGGCCGGGGTCTCGGGCCGCGCGCTGGCCGGGGTCTCGGGCCGCGCGCTGGCCGGGGTCTCGAGCCGTGCGCTGGCCGGGGTCTCGAGCCGTGCGCTGGCCGGGGTCTCGAGCCGCGCGCTGGCCGGGGTCTCGAGCCGCGCGCTGGCCGGGGTCTCGGGCCGCGCGCTGGCCGGGGTCTCGGGCCGCGCGCTGGCCGGGGTCTCGGGCCGCGCGCTGGCCGGGGTCTCGGGCCGCGCACTGGCCGGGGTCTCGGGCCGCGCACTGGCCGGGGTCTCGGGCCGTGCGCTGGCCGGGGTCTCCGGCACCATGCTGGCCGGGGTCTCCGGCAACACACTGGCAGGGGTCTCCGGCAACACGCTGGCATGGGGTCTCCGGCAACACACTGGCAGGGGTCTCCGGCAACGCACTGGCAGGGGTCTCCGGCAACACGCTGGCATGGGGTCTCCGGCAACACATTGGCAGGGGTCTCCGGCAACACGCTGGCAGGGGTCTCCGGCAACACGCTGGCAGGGGTCTCCGGCAACACGCTGGCAGGGGGTCTCCGGCAACACGCTGGAAGGGGTCTCCAGCAACACGGTGGCAGCGGTCTCCAGCAACACGCTGGCAGGGGTCTCCGGCAACACGGTGGCTGTGGTCTCCAGCAACACACTGGCAGGGGTCTCCAGCAACACACTGGCAGGGGTCTCCAGCAACACGGTGGCAGGGGTCTCCAGCAACACGGTGGCAGGGGTCTCCAGCAACACGCTGGCAGGGGTCTCCAGCAACACGGTGGCAGGGGTCTCCAGCAACACGGTGGCAGGGGTCTCCAGCAACACGCTGGCAGGGGTCTCCAGCAACACGCTGGCAGGGGGTCTCCAGCAACACGCTGGCAGGGGTCTCCAGCAACACGCTGGCAGGGGTCTCCAGCAACACGCTGGCAGGGGTCTCCAGCAACACGCTGGCAGGGGTCTCCAGCAACACGCTGGCAGGGGTCTCCAGCAACACGCTGGCAGGGGTCTCCAGCAACACGGTGGCAGGGGTCTCCAGCAACACGCTGGCAGGGGTCTCCAGCAACATGCTGGCAGGGGTCTCCAGTAACACGCTAGCAGTGGTCTCTAACATTCCCTCACCAACTAAACCAGTAACACACTTCCTTCATCACTCAAAGTGTTCCAAAACCTGTTTGCGCTGCCACCAAATATGTCGTTTCATTTAATTACACAGAATAGACTCTGACAAATAATAGCATATTAACATACTCTATTAGGTAAATACACTTCCAATACCCATAGACCACTTGACCTCCACGGTCACCACTTGCACTCGTAACTTCCGCCTGAGTCCCTAATACGGAATGATTACTACAACGCTCCACACCCGGTTAGTCTTTCATTCAATACTCACATGCTGCAGACTTAACTTGGTCACTAAGATCACATCAGGCTCTCGCATAGCTGTCTGCTACACTTCGCTGCTGCCACAAACGGAGACCCCGGAGGACTTGCCAGTTCCACTCGCACAACAAGACTGTCTCCAGTCAGCCAAGGCCTCAAACATTTTACCACACCTCTCAAGGAAGGTATATTCCGATTAACCTTATCTCTAGAAGCGGTAACCTTGTTCCTAGAAGCCTGAGGCCTCTTTCCAGGAATTTTTAGTTTGGCTAACAGCTGCGGTCTTAATCCCTTTGACCTTTCTTGGATATGTGATCCATAGTCTGTCTACTTAACATGTACTTCCAATCATCATTCGTTAAGTGTTGTAGTAATGATCCTCTAGCTAATAATCCCTACTAACTTGTGGATTACAACAGCAGGTGTCTCCGGCAACACACTGGCAAGCTTCCACACAGGCTTCAATTATAACAAGCCTTAACAAACAGACATTAATTCCATATCGTAACTTAATCTGGCCATCTTGGGACATGTCGGTCCCATCATCAATACATCACTAAGAATCGGACAAATCACAGTCTGCACCGACTTGGCCACTTGGTCTCACTGGAACACATCTTAAGTTAAGGACTGCCCTGGATGAACTGGTTCTTGTCGACCAAGGTACCACCCACATCACTTCTGAGGAGTAAAAGTTGATTAGTAAGAAAGAAACTACACAGGTGTCAGTTAGATCATAGCCATCCACAGGGAACAGAAAATGGTTCATGGTGCGCTCAACAGATGGCGTCGACCTTATCACACTAAACTAAGACACACAAACCTCCACACACTATGACATAGTACCCCACACTCCTCCATAACACTATGGCAGAGTACCCCTACACCTCTAGAACATTATTACAGAGTATCCAACATCCCTTCACACACTATGGCAGAGAACTTCACAGTCCTCCACAACACTATGGCAGAGTACTCCAAACTCCTCCAAACTCCTCCAAACACTAGAGCAGAACACCCCACACTCCTTCACACACTATGGCAGAGAACTTCACACTCCTCCACAACACCATGGCAGAATACCCCCACACTCCTCCACAACACTATGGCAGAGTACTCCACACTCCTCCACAACACTATGGCAGAGTACCCCCACACTCCTCCACAACACTATGGCAGAGTACTCCACTCACCTCAACTACACTATTGCAGAGTACTCCACACACACTATGACAGAGATCCCCACACTCTTCCACAACACTATGGCAGAGTACCCCCACACTCCTCCACAACACTATGGCAGAGTACCCCCACACTCCTCCACAACACTATGGCAGAGTACCCCCACACTCCTCCACAAAACTATGGCAGAGTACCCCCACACTCCTCCACAACATTATGGCAGAGTACCCCCACACTCCTCCACAACACTATGGCAGAGTACCCCCACACTCCTCCACAAAACTATGGCAGAGTACCCCCACACTCCTCCACAACACTATGGCAGAGTACCCCCACACTCCTCCACAACACTATGGCAGAGTACTCCACACATCTCCACACACTATGGCAGAGTACCCCACACACCACCAAACACAATGGAAGAGTACTCCTCACACCTCCATACACTATGGCGGAGTATCCCACACTCTTCCACAACACTTTTGCAGAGCACTCCACACTCCTCCACAACACTATAGCAGAGTATTCCACACTCCTCCTCAACATTATGACAGAGTACCCAACACTCCACCACAACACTGTGTGTTGTGGTGTGTTTATCACCTGCCAACACTCTGGTGTGGTTTACTCATCACCCATCTACACTCTGGTGTGGTTTACTCATCACCCATCTACACTCTGGTGTGGTTTACTCATCACCCATCTACACTCTGGTGTGGTTTACTCATCACCCACCTACACTCTGGTGTGGTTTACTCATCACCCACCTACACTCTGGTGTGGTTTACTCATCAACCACCTACACTCTGGTGTGGTTTACTCATCACCCACCTTCACTCTGGTGTGGTTTACTCATCACCCACCTACACTCTGGTGTGGTTTACTCATCACCCACCTTCACTCTGGTGTGGTTTACTCATCATCCACCTTCACTCTGGTGTGGTTTACTCATCACCCACCTACACTCTGGTGTGGTTTACACTTCACCCGCCTAGATTACACATCACCCGCCTAGACCATGGAGTGGTTTACTCATCACCCGGCCTGGTGGGGTAATTACCTTAATGTAATTGCCTAAGTATAGTTACAGGGTGAGAGCTACAATCATGGTGTCCGTCTTCCTGGTACTCATTGTCATATAACGCTTTGAAACTACTGACGGGTTAGGCCTCCTCCACCTTCTCACTTAACTTGTTCCAACCGTAAACCACTCTATTTGCAGAAGTAAATTTCCTTATATTTCTTTGCCAGCTTTATTTAGTTAGTTTAAATGTATGACCTCTTGTTCTTAAAGTTCCAGGTCTCAGACATTCTTCCTTATCAGTTTTGTCGATTCTCATTACTATTTTGTACTTGAGGATCATATCACCTCTTTTTCCTTTATCTTCTAGTTTTGGCATATTTATTGCCTGTAACCTCTGGTGTTAGAGGCTCTTTTCTTTCAGTTCCGGGAGCATTTTAGATTTATACCTTTGCAGTTTGTTGATGTGCTCCTTAAGATATGGGCAAAATACAACCATCGCATATTCCAAGTTTTGTGTCACAAAGGTTGTATTTCGTATTTCACTATCAATGTATTTAAAAGTAATTCTGAAATTGGAAAGTATAGCATAGGCTTCTCACACAATGTTCTTTATGTGGTCCTCGGGTGACGGTTTTCTATTTAGAACCTCACCTACATCTCTTTTTTATCAGACTTTGTTAAAGATTTTTCACAAAATTTGTAGGTTGTGTGTATTTTCTCCTCTTCCATATTCCATAACATGACATTTGTTCATATAAAATTCCATTTGTTAAATGGTGCTCCCATACACTTATTTTGTCCAGGTCTTCTTGAAGGTCATACCAATCATCTAAGTTTCTTGTCTTCCCCAGTATCTTAGCACCATCAGCAGACATGTTCATATAATACCTTATTCCATCTGGTAGGTCCTTTATGTAGACAATGAACATTACCGGTGCAAGAAGTGAACACTGTGGTACTCTGCTCCTGACACTTCTCCAGTCAGATACATTGCCTCTGATTACTGCTCTCATTTTTCTGTCAGAAAATTTTTCATCCATATCCGAAGCCTCCTTGTCACTCCTACAGTGTGTTCCAGGTTACAGAACAACGTCTTACGTGCAACTGTCTCAAAAGCCTTTTTTGTAGATCCAGGTAGATGCAGTCAACCCAACTATTTCTTTCCTGCAAAATCTTTGTGGCTCTATCATAGAAACAGTAAATTCGTTACACAGGATCTTCCAAATTGAAAACCAAATTGCCTGTCTGTTGTTATATCATTTTTCCCCAGGTGTTCTCCCCATTTGGTTTTATTTATTTTTTCTAGTATGTTGACTACTACACTTGCCAATGATATAGGTTTATAATTAGAGGGGGGTCTAATTATAGAGGGGAAAATACAATGTTAATCCCAAAGTGATCATTTTATGTCCCTATAATTCTAAAGTTGTTATAATCATTCTGCTAATGATTATAGCACCATTTCAGATAGTTAAACAATGTTTTATTATAATTAGTTCTTTAATTAAGTATTTCATTTTGCAGCTTTCAAGTGTGGGTGGATAATTGATCCCATCCACGTGGTTGATGTTTATCAAGTCCTGACCCACGTTCTGCACCTCACGCCGCAGCCTCACAATGGAACCTGGGACCGAGTCAAAAATATATTTGTGGACGGCAATGATGGCGTGGATGGCTGCAGTCGTGCCAGTTCCACTACCCTTGCCCCGTTTACAGTCCTTATGTTAGCTTCCATCTTATTCATTGCTTATGTCAGGCCATAATGAATCCCAGAGTCGATTTTTGTGTATTTTGCTGTAACCGCACCAATATGTAACTACCTGAAATCTCTAATTTAACAAACTGTGCTTTACGAAGAACACTCGCTTTAACTGCATCGCATGTCCGGCTTCTTGCATCATGATGTTCTATAGTAACCAGCAATTCATGTTTATTCATCTAAAACATGAACAGTGTTACTTTTAACGTCAGTTTGGACATGTTGCTTGTTGCTTGGACATGTTGCTTGTTGCTTGGACATGTTGCTGTGTAGTGTGTTGCAAAGACGTCCACACGGTCGGGGGCAGTGTGTGGACGACCCATGCTGTCACAGTCTCTGGAAATATATAAAGAAAATCAGAGGAAATAACTTCCCAATATATATATATATATATATATATATATATATATATATATATATATATATATATATATATATATATATATATATATATATATATATATGCGAACAAGCCTGAATGGTCCCCAGGACTATATGCGAATGAAAACTCACACCCCAGAAGTGACTCGAACCCATACTCCCAGAAGCAACGCAACTGGTAACTACAGTTGAGTTTTCATTCGCATATAGTCCTGGGGACCATTCAGGCTTGTTCGCATTTGTGTTCCTCACGTGTGCCCCAAAGAATGAGGTGATTTGGTGAAATGCTATGCCCAAGATTACCATCCGAGTTGTGGTCGGGGAAGTGGCTCAAATAGCCTCGGCTATCACTTCCTTTGACGGCCGTGATGGTCAAGTGGATTAAGGCGCCCTGTAGTTACCAGTTGCGTTGCTTCTGGGAGTATGGGTTCGAGTCACTTCTGGGGTGTGAGTTTTCATTTTCATATATATATATATATATATATATTTATATATATATATATATATATATATATATATATATATATATATATATATATATATATATATATATATATATATATATATATATATATACTTTACACATAACGATCAAAACATAAGAGACCCGAATGAAGTCATATACATCTTTTAAACAACAACAACACCCATATCAAACCTCTGCAATTTTAAACAAACAAGCAAGAAAACAAGCAAGGGAGCAAGCAAGCAAGGACCGACGCATAGAAAACAGGATATCACGTCAATTTTGTGAGGCGCTAAAATTTTAGTGCATCAGTTTTTGGCCTTAGAGTATTTATAGGTCGGAATGCTGTGTAGTATAGAAGAGGACGGGTTTTGAGCACTTTCCCTAGGGGCCGAGGGAGCACTCCTCCCAGGGCCGTGGGAGTAACTAGTACTGCCTCTTCTCACATCATTTCGAGACTCATAAATATCAGCTTTAAATACCCAATTCAATTGCGGTCACAGTTTGTTACTCACCTCTAGTTACATTTAGTTATTCACCTCTGATTACTCACTTAGTTACTCACCTCTAGTATAGTTACTCACCTCTGATTACTTCTATTTACTCACCTCTGATTATTTCTAGTTTCTCACCTCTTCAAAGCTGCCACAGCCATTGTCAGACCCCAAAATTATTAAACCAGAAACTGACCTCAAACACTGCAATCAATCAGCTTGCTAGAGACACTAGAAAATTATACGAACGACAAATCAGCTGTGGACTTCGACAAAATCTAGAAGACAATAAATATTTGATTGAAAACGGTTAATTGCAAGCATCACTGATCCACACAAAATGCTTTCAACATCATTAATTACAGCTACACGAATCAGAACCTACTTGGTTCTCGAGACAACATTCGCCACAAAAGATGTTGAAAAAGCTTTTGACAAAGTTTGGCATGATGGACTTCTCACACAAAAACGTCTATGAAAGGCTTCTTTGCAAGTGAAAATCACCATCAAAGAGTAAATGTACAAACTGTTTCAGACGAGGAGTCACAATAACGTGGCTGAAATATGTTGACCAAACCACACACTACAAAGTGAAGGGACGACGAAGTTTCGGTCCGTCCTGGACCATTCTCAAGTCGATTGTGACTTGAGAATGGTCCAGGATGGACCGAAACGTCGTCGTCCCTTCACGTTCTAGTGTGTGGTTTGGTCAACGTACAAGCTGTTAATACCTACTGGAAATCTTAAGCGGACAAGCAAATACGGAGGGTAGCAACACTCAGCATTACTGAGTGACACACACACACACACACCGGCAGGGCCGGTGGCTGAGTGGACAGTACGCTGGGCGCGTGATCCTTTGGTCCCGGGTTCGATTCCGGGCGCCGGCGAGAAACAATGGGCAGAGTTTCTTTCACCCTGATCTCCCTGTTACCTAGCAGTAATTAGGTACTTGGGAGTTAGTCAGCTGTCAAGGGCTGCTTCCTTGGGTGTGTGATGTGGAAAAAAATATAGTAGTTAGTAACAGTTGATTAACAGTTGAGAGGCGGGCCGAAAGAGCAGAGTTCAACTGCCGCAAGCACAACTAGGTGAATACATCTAGGTGAATACACACATACACACACACACAAGCAGGCTGAAGTAAAAGGGAAGGTACTACACTGGATAAGGGAGTACCTAAGCAACAGAAGACAACGAGTCACTGTGAGGGGTGAGGTCTCAGATTGGAGACGTCACAAGTGGAGTTCTGCAGGGGTCAGTCCTTGGACCAATACTGTTTCAGATATATGTAAATGATCTCCCAGAGGGTATAGACTCGTTTCTCAATTTTTGCTGATGATTCAAAAATTATGAGGAGGATTGAAACAGGATGATAGTAGGAGGCTACAAGATGACTTAGACAAACTGAATGAATGGCCCAATGGCTGCTATAGTTCAACCCAAGTAAATGTAAAGCAATGAAACTAGGCGGTAGAAACAGGAGGCCAGACACAGGATACACAATAGGATATGAAGTACTTAATGAAACGGACAGAGAAAGATCTAGGAGTTGATATCATAACAAACCTGTCTCCTGAAGCCCCACATAAAAAGAATTACGTCTGCGGCATATGCGAGGCTGGCTAACATCAGAACAGCCTTCAGGAACCTGTGTAAGGAATCATTCAGAATCTTGGATGCCACATACGTAAGACCAATCCTGAAGTATGCGGCCCCGGCATGGCGCCCTTACATTGTCAAGCACAAGACGAAGCTGGAAAAGGTTCAGAGGTATGCCACTAGACTGGTCCCAGAACTAAGAGGCATGAGTTACGAGGAAAGGCTGCGGGAAATGCACCTTATGACACTAGAAGACAGAAGAGTAAGGGGAGACATGATAATCACCTACAAAATTCTCAGGGGGAATTGACAGGGGTAGACAAGGATAAACTATTCAACACTGGTGGTACGCGAACAAGGGGACACAGGTGGAAACTGAGTACCCAAATGAGCCACAGGGACGTTTGAAAGAACTTTTTCAGTGTCAGAGTAGTTAACAGGTGAAATACTTTAAGCAGTGATGTAGTTGAGGCTGACTCCATACTCAATTTTAAATGTAGATATAATGGAGTCCAGTAGGCTCAGGAATCTGGGCACCATTTAATTGACAGTTGAGAGGCGGGACCAAAGAGCCAAAGCTCAACCCCCGCTAGCACAACTAAAGAAGGCAGTTGCTGGAAGAAAGCAAATGTCGTACTGATTTTCAAGAAAGGTATTAGGGAGGTGACACTTAACTATAGACCTGTATCACTGACAAGCATCCCCTGCAAAATACTTTAAAGAATAATTAGGCTACATCAACATGGGTTCTGGGAAGGAAAATCGTGCCTAACTAACCTCTTGGAATTCAGTGATAAAATAACGAGGATAAAACAGGACAGAGATTGTTGGGCAGACTGCATATTTCTGGACTGCCAAAAAGCCTTTGATACAGTACCGCACATGAGACTGCTGTTCAAACTCGAGAGGCAGGAGGGGGTGGGAGGAAAGGTCCTAGCATGGATATGGAACTACCTAACAGGAAGGAGCCAAAGAGTTATGGTAAGGAGTGAGAAGTCGGACTGGTGAACAGTGACGAGTGGAGTACCTCAAGGATCAGTGCTGGGACCAATTCTATTTCTAATATATGTTAACAACATGTTTACAGGCGTAGAGTCCTACATGTCAATGTTTGTGGATGACGCAAAGTTGATGAGAAGAGTTGTGACAGATGAGAATTGCAGGATCCTCCAAGAGGACCTGAACAGGTTGCACAGATGGTCAGAGAAATGGCTACTGGAGTTCAACACGAGCAAATGTAAAGTTATGGAAATGGGACTAGGTGATAGGAGACCAAAGGGACAGTACACAATGAAGGGGAACTGCCTACCTGTGACGACGCGAGAGAAAGAGACCTCGGCGTGGACGTAACACCTAATCTATCTCCTGAAGCTCATATAAATAGGATAATGGCAGCAGCGTACTCTACACTGGCAAAAGTTAGAACATCATTCAGAAACCTAAGTAGGGAGGCATTTAGGGTGCTTTACACTGCCTACGTGAGGCCAGTCTTAGAGTATGCCGCCTAATCGTGGAGTCCCCATCTGAAGAAGCGTAAAAGGAAACTGGAAAAGGTTCAGAGGTTTGCAACGAGACTCATCCCAGAGTTACGAGGGATGGGGTATGAGGAGCGCCTGAAGGAACTGTGCCTTACGACACTAGAAAAAAGAAGGGATAGGGGGACATGATAGGAATGTATAAAATACTCAGGGGGATTGACAAAGTGGACAGAGACGAAATGTTCACACGGAATAGTAACAGAACGAGGGGACATTGGTGGAAGCTGGAAACTCAGATGAGTCACAGAGATGTTAGGAAGTTTTCTTTTAGCGTGAGAGTAGTGGAAAAATGGAATGCACTTCAGGAACAGGTTGTGGAAGCAAATACTATTCATAATTTTAAAATTAGGTATGAAAGGGAAATGGGACCGGAGTCATTGCTGTAAACATCCGATGCTCGAAAGGCGGGATCCAAGAGTCAATGCTCGATCCTGCAGACACAAAGAGGTGAGTACAAATAGGCGAGTACACACACACTTACCTATTGGATTACACTTAGGTAATTGCACTCATTTTACCATTAATGTATCCCACCTTGTACTACTAACTCGTGCAGTATTTTGTGCTACTAACTCGTGCAGTATTTTGTACTACTAACTCGTGTAGTATTTTGTACTACTAACTCGTGTAGTATTTTGTTCTACTAACTCGTGTAGTATTTTGTACTACTAACTCGTGCAGTATTTTGTACTACTAACTCGTGCAGTATTTTGTACTACTAACTCGTGCAGTATTTTGTGCTACTAACTCGTGTAGTATTTTGTGCTACTAACTCGTGCAGTATTTTGTACTACTAACTCGTGCAGTATTTTGTACTACTAACTCGTGTAGTATTTTGTACTACTAACTCGTGTAGTATTTTGTACTACTAACTCGTGTAGTATTTTGTGCTACTAACTCGTGTAGTATTTTGTACTACTAACTCGTGCAGTATTTTGTACTACTAACTCGTGTAGTATTTTGTACTACTAACTCGTGCAGTATTTTGTGCTACTAACTCGTGTAGTATTTTGTGCTACTAACTCGTGAAGTATTTTGTGCTCCTAACTCGTGTAGTATTTTGTGCTACTAACTCGTGTAGTATTTTGTGCTACTAACTCGTGTAGTATTTTGTGCTACTAACTCTTGAAGTATTTTGTGCTACTAACTCACCTAGTATTTTACAATCTAGAAATGCAATTCATCAGTATAATTTATCTGATCACCTCTTTATGCTGATGTAATTATGCGAATTCAAATTCTGTTACATTTATTTTTTATTCAATATTTCACCTTGTTGAAATTTCTCTTCAAATTCAATGTTTAGCTTCAGGACCTGCCCGAAAAGTTAGTGACTTTGCAAAAATATACCACTTAACAACTTATGTATTTTCAGAACCCATTGTACGTTCTTGTATATAAATAAATAAATAGTATGACAGAAAAGGCGATCCATTCCCCTCGAGAGGAAACTATAGATAACAAATGGCACTAAGAATATAATACACAGCTCATGTGTACAGCCCGAGGTCCAGCAGGAGAAAATTGTAATAGTGAAAACTCTTTATAGTCGAGAATAGTTGCACACTTGACAGGCCGAGACACCTGTTATCGCGCCAGATCTGATGTAATGGGTGTTGTTATCAGATATGTTATCTAGGAACATGCTTAGTGCATACATTAAGTGTGCTTATCAGTACTTAATCGCTAATTAAATGCGATTATCAGTGATGGGCATCTGTGTTTGTGTGATGTAACCCTAATTGTGCAAACTTGGGGGGGTCGAGCTTCAGTTCTTGGACCCCGCCTCTCAGTTGATAAGTGTGCTTATCAGTACTTAATCGCTACTTAAATGTGATTATCAGTGATAGGCATCAGTGTTTGAGTGGTGTAACACTGTGCTTACTTGGGGTCGAGCTTCAGTTCTTGGGCCTTGCCTCTCAGTGGAAGTGTGTTTGCGTGCGCACGTGCGTGTGTGAGTGTAAGCTTACCTCGATGTTTGAGGGGGGGTGTAACCCTAATTGAGCTTACATAGGGTTGTGCTTCAGTTCCTTGGCCCCACCTGTGTTTAAACATGTTTTGAACATGTGTGTGTATTTACTATTTGTATTTGTTTTACATTTGTGTGTCTGTGTGTGGGTAGAGCTTCAGCTCTTTGGAGCCACCTCTCAATAGTCAAACATGTTTAAACGTGTGTGTGTGTGTGTGTGTGTGTGTGTGTGTGTGTGTGTGTGTGTGTGTGTGTGTGTGTGTGTGTGTGTGTGTGTGTGTGTGTGTGTGTGTGTAAGCTCCCCTAGTTGTACTCTCCTATTTGTCACCTCTCAATGATCAAACATGTTTAATGCTTTACATTTGTGTCTGTGTGTTGGTTGAGCTTTGGATTTTTGGCCTCACCTCTCAACAGATGGAAAGTAATTTGTGTGATGTTATCAGAATCTTACGTGTCTCTGGGAGTTACATGGTTTCTCTCTCTCTTATTAGAGTTTATCGTTGTTTGACATCAGTTTTCAGGTATCATTAGTAGATGGTAAGTATTTGTGTGGCTCTATCAGTATAAGAATCATATTTGTCTCTGGAAGCTGCCCAAGACTGAATCAAAGTCTACTTGTTGAACTGAGTGAGAGAGTGTGTTTCCATCCATCCTATAGCTACAATTATTCAATAAAGAAAAAAATAATCAATCAATTGTTTAAAAGTTTATTAATTGCACTATTATACAAAGTCCCTAATTGAGATGTCATTGTTGTTATTCTGGTATATCGCTCTGCTCCACTCTGGTTCATTCTCTATCTCTGGACGTTTTGCATGTTCAACCACATCTTCAGAGACAAGTACCTTCTCTACCACATCGTCTGAGATGACCTCCATCTCGACCTCTTCATCTCTTAACTTGAATTTCATTGTAGGAGAATTCTTGTCATCTTCCTTATTATGCGTAGTCACATCCTCCCTCGGTGGGGGAACTGGCTCCCTCGTAAAAAAAATTAAGATTCCGTCAATATAAATATATATGTATATGACCATAACTCATACTAACAATTAAAAAAAAAAAGTACCCGCCAGGGAGACGGTCGGCCAAGCGGACAGCACGCTGGAATTGTGACCCTGTGGTCCCGGGTTCGATCCCGGGCGCCGGCGAGAAACAATGGGCAGAGTTTCTTTCACCCTATGCCCCTGTTACCTAGCAGTCATATCCCAGCTCCTTGTCATCATATCCCAGGTCCTTGTCGTCACACCCCAGCTGATCCTCGTCATCATATCCCAGTTCTTTATCCTCATATCCCTTCTATGCACCACATAATCATATTGGCCTAAAACATTCTCATAATTATCTTTCCTTTGGGTCTATCAAATCCGGGAAGGTTATTAAAGACTACAGTTATCTGACTGGCTAACCGGCAAGTTCACTTTAGTATATACTACAGTAAACTCAGTGTGTATGCACAGATAAGCCAGGTACACCTCTTAGTGTACGTATTCCTCAAGTGAGTTGATTAACCACCAGCTCTAACAAAAAGTGGCTTTAAACTTGACCGCTTAATCTTTTAAGTCGTGTTACCTGTATTTACCTGAGGGCCATCATGTCTCTAGTGGCCTCGACGGGGACAAGAGAACAAAAGTCACCTCTCCTCCATAGTTCTTGATGTACAGACTCATCTCTCGTTGTGGGGAACAATATTTATATAATTAGAAATAACTGATTCTATTAATTTTATTTCATCATAGGTTCGTGCACACATAAAAAAATATTTTAAGAGACGTGTAATATAAAATATGAAGTAATGATAGTATGTTCAATCTAATTCCCCCAACTCGTATACATGGGGATAAACCTTTATTTTTGCACTGGGGGAACACAAAATTATACACTATGCATATTTTATATTTTATGTATCCATGAATGATATGAATGTACAATATATATTTATTTTTTTGCTGTACAGTAGTCATAATTTTAAAAGGTGTCGTACACACGCATACATTCATTTTATATATATACTGTATATATACTGTATCAGAAAAATACATTTATAGGAACTAGATGAGCACAGTTTTTCTTGAACTGTGTTGTTGTTTTCAATATAAAGTATATGTTGTTTGTAGTATGTCATATTAGCGAATAATTGTTACAGTGTGTGTTATGCTACATTATGTGATTTTATGTGAAGTTATTCTGTTTCATCGTGATGTCATTTGTTGATATGCTACGGTTTGTGATATGTTGTGTTACAGTGTCACATATAATTTTGGAGACGCAATCCAACTCGTGTCACCTGCTGAGGGCACCTCTTGTGTCACCTGCTGAGGGCACCTCTTGTGTCACCTGCTGAGGGCACCTCTTGTGTCACCTGCTGAGGGCACCTCTTGTGTCACCTGCTGAGGGCACCTCTTGTGTCACCTGCTGAGGGCACCTCTTGTGTACAAGCTTGGCGTCGTGTATGGCAGTACAGAAGAACCATGAACCGAGAAATGATTAGAATGAGTGCAAGAGTGTAAGTCATGGCTGGTTCAAGGGAGGATACCAAACCACTCGCTGGCTAAGGCTGACGTATATTACCTTATCACACGCAGGGTAAGGCTGATTCATCCGTTCATATCACATGGAAAGTAAGACCGACCCGGATGCTCTTATCACACGCTGAGTAAGGCTGACTCAGCCACGCGTATCGCACGCTGAGTATGATTAACTCATCCATTCATATCACAATTACATGTGAGTAAGACTGACTCTGATGTCTATCACATGGTGGGTACGGCTGACTCATCTGTCCACATCACATTATGAGTAAGACTGACTCAGAGGAACAACCCGCTCTCAAACTACAGTCATTAAAGCTGCATCCATTTGTATTTACAGTAGGTGTGTGAAGCATGTAGCAAGGTGCGCTTCAACATAGCAAGTGAACGAAGGGAGTTTGGGGAAAAATGGAAAGTAATCGACTGAGAAATATTTTCATTGCAGCATATCCTCTAAGAATGATAGTACCCATTGCGACTGTGGAGTATGTACAAAAAAAAACTATGGTGCTACCCCCCCCCCACCCCCCAAAAAAAATCCGTCGTGTACAATTGCCATTGTAAATGACCCGATAAAGAATGTAACAAGTACGCTTTCACAGGTCATGTATAGTACATGTTTTAGATTAGGCCGAAGCTTCCATATAATGGCTCTAGGATTGTTTATAATGGCCCTAGGGATTTTTATTATAATAGTCCTCGAATAAATTATAATAGGCCCAGAAGAGGTTAAGTAAGGTTGACATTTGTTTACCTAACCAACGTAATACCAGTAGCTCAAAACGCTGCCCATACTATAAGTTTGGAGAATGGGTTTGTTTTTTCACAGATGGTTGATGATGAAGCCACTCCAAGAGGTGGCACGGGCATGAATAGCCCGTAATGTTTTTCACACACGGAGGAAGAGGCTCCTGCCAGAGTAGCAGCGTTTAGTTAATAATTATGAGTCAGACTGACTCAGCTCTCCGTGTTGCGTGCTGAGTAAGGCGGACTCATCCGTCCCCAAATACTTCATTCCCGCAAAATAAGATAGAATAGTTATAGTTGGCTAAACTAAGGCACTGTCATGCACTCACTGTTATACTGGGCTATGACTCATCTGGTGCCCACTGAGGATTATGTTCAGTGCTTCACTCGTTATAAACTCAATACTATCATTACCTGCAAACGTTTTATCTTGTCACACTGAATCATAACATCAATGCCTTGTATTCTTGACTAGGATAACATCTGCATATGTCACTGCATGTCATGTCTGCCAAGATATGTTCACAGGTACTCGAGTGTGTTCTTCATGACCTGAATGGTTTCCGTGAAGGTGGTCACACGCACTCAGCTACCATCTCGTATACAGTCTTTCCAGTGTATGTGAATCATCACTATTTTCTCCCTTAGTCACCGGGCACGGGATTATATGGCAAAGTCATATAATCCCGGCCATTTGGCCGGGAAATGAAATAGCCTTTGGCCATTTTATCCTGAATTAATGCAGTTTCTTTTGTTCAAGTGGGAGTTTAATCAAGAGGAGGACGGTGATTGTCCAGTTCAAGACGGAGAGTTGGTGATGATTAGGTGGGCGTGCTGATGGATGCCAGTGGGTGGGAGTGCAGTGGGAGGCGGGCGGCACTTGACACACTAGGAAGGGGGGCTGCATCAGATGGAGGGAGGGAGGGAGGAGATCGGCACTGGAAAAAACATAGGGGTGTGGGTTGTGGAAGGTGGGCAGTATAGGAAGGGTTGTGGAAGGTGGGCAGTATAGGAAGGGTTGTGGAAGGTGGGCAGCACTAGGGGCTCGTCAACTTATCCCAGGTATTGAGGCCACAAGGATGCTGCAGGAACTGGTCGTTATAGTGGATCCATTTATTGCATACTGTAAGTGTTTAATAAACTATGTTAGAACAGCTTACACTAATATACGACACATGTAGTATTTTGATATCTTATTAGTTTTCCATGAGCAAAAAAAGAATGTTCCAGTATTAGTCATCTGTGCTATCTTTTGTATACATTAACTTATGGCACATTTATATAAACTTATTTATTGATATTTAAAGTGATCCGTCATATAAACACAAATTCAGTTAAAGTGGAGATAGGAATGACTTGTGAGGAGAAGGTTGTGTGGGGGAAGGAATGTGAGAGGCGCACTCACTCCACTTGGAGCCGTGGAGGACCGGACAGCCGCCATGTCTGGTGTTCTCGTCCCCTACACCGGAACGGTAGAGGTTCCACCAGAAGGCTGCTGACCCCCGCTTGGGCCAGATGGTCACACCGGCCCGAGGGAACACCGTCGCCCCTCCAGCCTCCACGTCAGACAGCTGCAACGATATGCTCTTACATTTCCGATGGCAAGACGCAAACTTGCATCTACTTGGAAAGAAACAGGGAACACAGGACATTTTGCTCAGGACAAAGACATCTGTTGGAGAACTCCATTAGCCAGCTTAGTCTCTAAAGCTTATACAAACACCGTTATGAGAAGTTAAGTCAGACTGGTTTTGTTGAAGAAACTCCAGCTACTGCTACATACTGCCCTCCACACTTAAATGAATTTACATTGTCCGACCGTTGTTTCAACTTATTTAAGTCCATTAAACGTTCATAAAATCATCCTTGTATTCCACTTTTTCTCCTAACTTTGAATCATGAGAAATTTGCCTTAAATAATTCTTAGTAACTAGATCGTTTATAAATAAGGTGTAGAGAAGAGTAGAGCATGGAGGCACCCGGCCACCAGGTGACAGTAACGCCACCTGGCGAGAGGAACCTTCAGTGACTCCTGCAGTACTCTACGTCACACGGCCCACACAATACTCGCCACCATACTTAACATAACACAACAATAAAACCCACATTATCACAATAAAATATATGTCCTTACAGATTGGTTGCTTACTGGTGCCTCGTGTAGTCCTCTCGAGTGAACACAGGGAGAGTGGACGCGTCCGCCAAGGGGGATCACCAGAGTACATGTTGCAATACTATCCCACAGGGTATCATCAAAAGACAACTCAGTACATAACAATCGGTGATGACTGCAATAATTCATGCACATAATGTGCTCTTCAACTAGGTGACATTTAGAGGAAAGAATTGCACCAACTCACGTAAACCATGAAGGTGGCCATCCGGTCGCCCATGAACCGTTCCCAGGGAGTGTAGACGGAGAGGTCCGGGTTGATCATGAGGTGGTCGGTATGCGTCACGTACAGTCCACCGATCCCGTAGTTGGCAACCTGTAGGTACCTCACCGCGTTACTTTATGGCAACCTGTAGGTACCTCACCGCGTTACTTTATGGCAACCTGTAGGTACCTCACCACGTTACTTTATGGCAACCTGTATGTCACCGTGTTACCGCATGGCAACCTGTATGTCACCACGTTACCATATGGTGTTACGACCCTGGGTCCATAATTGGCACTGCGAAAGAACCCATTACCCGGATTCATAAAGTAGTTACGCAAGCACGTACGTACATCTTTCCTCAATCTTTGGCGACTTTGTTTACAATTATTAAACAGTTAATGAGCTCCGAAGCACCAGGAGGCTGTTTATAATAATACCAACAGTTGATTGGGAAGGTTTTATGCTTGTAAACTGTTTAATAAATGTAATCAAAGATTGAGGAAAGATGTACACGTTCGTAAGTACTTGCGTAACTGCTTTATGAATGTCAGGTTCAGGATCATAACGCTCCTCTTTACATACAGGGACCATTCACTCCATTATTTTTGTGACAAGACCTGATTGTTTGGGATTGTTTTGAGCCCCAAGTGTTTACCTCTCTGAGGTGGCCTATTGGCCATGTGTAATTTTTTTTTATTTTTTTTTGTTTTTACATGCAAGCATGCGAGTTAAATTACAATAAAACAACAAATTGAAACCTAACAATAGAAAACAAGAAACCGCCGGCCAGAAGGACCGCCAGAACAACAATTACCAAAACTGGAAAGGTTACAGAAAATGCAGGATAAAAACACAAAAAGATACAAAACAGAAAACAGGCACAAACAAGCAAGCAAACCAAGTACATAGCAACAATTTAAAACAATTTAGCAGTATGAAACAAAACAGACAGAAGCGCCGGCCTGAAGGACCGACAACAAAGCACAACAGTATGAACAAAATGATATACAATAAGAAAGCATATCACACAACAAGCCAATAACAAACAAAATAAAATAAAAGACAATCACGACACATAAGCATAAAAGAAAATACATAGGGCACAGTAACAACACAAAAACAAATACATGAAGAATAACACACACACCAAACCACCCGCCTCGCCACAAACAAGGGAGAGGCACGGGCACAAACTACCAGATGGCAAACAAACAGCCAGAAGGGCACACAGTACAAGAGTAAGCACAATAGTAGAAAATCACCTGACATACTTGCCCGGAAACACGTCCCGAGGGAACCATACATGGAACGCCTCCCAGCGCAACCACTGCCCAGGGCCCTGACCATCCACTGGGAACGCCATATCATCCGGGACATCGGCAACAAACACCCGCAAACAGGGTACCCAAATGGTATCACTCCTGACCGGAGTGATTGGCACACGCTCCCACACCAATGGAACTGCCCCATCCTGAAAGGCCAGCGCCTCCTCGCAGATCGGTAACGCAGCAATCTGCAACCAGTGACCCAACGGCATCACAGACTCCGGTAACACGTCCCCCAACGTACTTCCTTAGAGGAGGGAGCCGGACAGAAGGCACAACCACAGGGGCACCAGCGTCCACGGGCACACCACCGAACGACTGCCGGGAAACCAAGCTGCGCACATCCTTCCGCAAGGTCACCACCAGGCCACGCCCAACACCATCATCCCCACCATCCCTGGCAGCAGAGGCCACCACGCCTCACCGCAGAGAGGCCTCCGGTGGAGAAGGAACAGCAGGCACATCCGAGACACGGACACCATCGTCAGCAGGCACATGGACTTCCGCCACCACTAACTGCGGAGCCAGCGACGCATCCGGAACCACTCCATCCACACCCGAAGACCCACATTCACTAAATTCCCCAACATCGGCCCAGGCAGACGACGAACGCCGGGAATGTTTAGGCACTGGCCTGAGATCGTCAGAGCCGGAAGCGGTCCCAGACACACGGGCACCACTAGCCGGACGAACGGACGCCCGTCGCAGAACGGCAGCAGCCTCGACCACAGGGGGAACCGGACCACACACATCAGGGGGCCCCACAGCCACCCCAGCACCCAGCACAGCCGGGACCCGAGGTAAGGATGCAGGGCCAGGCGCAGCAGCTGAAGACGGGTGAGCATACGGCGATGCCTCACAGGGAGCAACAGGAAGGCCCACGGGAGCAGCAGGGCCAGTGACAGGAGCAGGAGTAACATCCGACGGTACCACAACATCCGGAGGAGGGTCAGCGACAACCTGGAGAACGTCGGGCGACGCTGGGGGAGCCTCAGCAACTAATGGGACGTTCACCTCCTCACCCCCGGAGTCCTCGTCCAGTGGGAGCGGCGGGAAATCCTCTTCCCGGAACAAGTTGACTGGAGCAACCTGAGCCGCATCGCACCCGGCAGCCTGATGCCCCAACAGGCCACACCGGAAACAGGTACAAGGTTGCCGGGCATAGTACACCCGGACGAAGTACCCCAGAAGCCAGACCGAAGATGGAATATCTGACCGCAGGCGCATCCCTAAGGTGCGAATGTTCGCCCGCCTACTTGCATACCTCCCTCAGGAGAGCGTGTTCACCCGCACACTGACGACCGCTCCAAACCGCTGAAAGTAACGTCGGAGAAGGTCCTCGGGAATCTCCAGGGGCGCTCCATGCACACTGACATAAGTCAGGGCACCACTACGGTCCGAGATGGACACAGAGCCGGCACCACCCGGCAACGGCAACGAACGCCCTTCGTAACGATGGAGGAAGTCACGATACTCCTCCTCCTGCACGAACTTGATAACAACCCGGTGGGCAGTTACAAGCTCAATACCATAAATGGCCATCACAGGGATACGGAGCATGTCGCACATAACCATCTCTATATCTGCATATCCAGCACGACCAGTGAATACAGGCCCACGGAGTTCACGCGCTTAACAGGAGGAAGGGGGCTACCCATGGCAAGCTCGCCACGTCAACACGCAGCCAGGTAGCAACAGCAGGGGGGGCACAGACGCCCACACCCCTGCCGACGAAAACGGCAAACACCCCAAACTACCAGAGGCCAGACGACACGTCTGTACCTCACGGCAGCTCCAGGTGGACTCCTGCCACGTGTGAAGTTGTTAGTGTCGGGTGCTATCCCTTAAGGAACGTAGACTTACCTCTAGTTTGCTGTTTGTAACCCTCGTTTCCTGCTTATGTGGATTCAGGAAGGTAACGTAAGATCGAAGTAGTAAGGTAATTATTGTACTTTGGGGGAATTAGGGTTAATAAATATTATATTAAGGTAAATGTTAACTGGAGTTTCCGTCACCTGCACTGTGTAGGGAGTCAGGCGATCACTATAGACAACAGACCATTTATTTGGTATCTTTTATTCTTTTGCTGTGAATCGTTTCCCTGGGGGCCGGGCCTTACCTAACCCCAGTAGTTGCTTACTCTATTACCTTAAACATTGACCCTACAAAGCAAATACTCATGTACAACATATGGCAACCTGTGTGTCACCGTGTTACTGTATGGCAACCAGTATGTCACCGTGTTACTGTATGGCAACCAGTATGTCACCGTGTTACTGTATGGCAACCTGTATGTCACCGTGTTACTGTATGTCACCGTGTTACTGAATGGCAACCTGCATGTCAACGCTACTATATGGCAACCTGTATGTCACCGCGTTGCTATATGGCAACCTGCATGTCACCGTACTGCTATATGGAAACCTGTATGTCACTGCGTTACTGTATGGCAACCTTTATGTCACCATGTTACTATATGTCAGCCTGTAAGCATGTCACTGTTACTATATGGCAACCTGTATGTCAGTTTAACTATATGTAAACCTGTCAGCATGTTACCATGTTACTGTATGACAACCTTTATGTAACTGTGTTACTATATGGCATCCTGTCAGCATGTCACCATGTTACTATATGGCATCCTGTAAGCATGTCACCATGTTACTATATATGGCATCCTGTAAGCATGTCACCTTGTTACAGTATGGCAACCTGTCAGCACGTCACCATGTTACTATATATGGCATCCTGTCAGCATGTCACCATGTTACTATATATGGCATCCTGTAAGCATGTCACCATGTTACTATATATGGCAACCTGTCAGCACGTCACCTTGTTACAGTATGGCAACCTGTCAGCACGTCACCTTGTTACAGTATGGCATCCTGTAAGCATGTCACCGTGTTACTTTATGGCAACCTGTCAGCACGTCACCTTGTTACAGTATGGCAACCCACGAGGGAGACATGAGTACCACAACTGGCAGTTTGTGTCCGTGGCTGGCCCGCTCGGCTCCTGTTTTGGGTTGGTCATGGTGATACATAGCTGGTCATGGTGATACATAGCTGGTCATGGTGATACATAGCTGGTCACGGTGATACATAGCTGGTCATGGTGATACATAGCTGGTCATGGTGATACATAGCTGGTCACGGTGATACATAGCTGGTCATGGTGATACATAGTTGGTCACGGTGATACATAGCTGGTCATGGTGATACATAGCTGGTCACGGTGATACATAGCTGGTGATGGTGATACATAGCTGGTCACGGTGATACATAGCTGGTCATGGTGATACATAGCTGGTCATGGTGATACATAGCTGGTCATGGTGATACATAGCTGGTCATGGTGATACATAGCTGGTCATGGTGATACATAGCTGGTCACAGTGATACATAGCTGGTCATGGTGATACATAGCTGGTCATGGTGATACATAGCTGGTCACGGTGATACATAGCTGGTCATGGTGATACATAGCTGGTCATGGTGATACATAGCTGGTCACGGTGATACATAGCTGGTCATGGTGATATATAGCTGGTCACGGTGATACATAGTTGGTCATGGTGATACATAGCTGGTCACGGTGATACATAGCTGGTCACGGTGATACATAGCTGGTCATGGTGATACATAGCTGGTCATGGTGATACATAGCTGGTCACGGTGATACATAGCTGGTCATGGTGATACATAGCTGGTCATGGTGATACATAGCTGGTCATGGTGATACATAGCTGGTCATGGTGATACATAGCTGGTCACAGTGATACATAGCTGGTCATGGTGATACATAGCTGGTCACGGTGATACATAGCTGGTCACGGTGATACATAGCTGGTCACAGTGATACATAGCTGGTCATGGTGATACATAGCTGGTCATGGTGATACATAGCTGGTCATGGTGATACATAGCTGGTCATGGTGATACATAGCTGGTCATGGTGATACATAGCTGGTCACGGTGATACATAGCTGGTCACGGTGATACATAGCTGGTCATGGTGATACATAGCTGGTCACGGTGATACATAGCTGGTCAAGGTGATACATAGCTGGTCACGGTGATACATAGCTGGTCATGATGATACATAGCTGGTCATGGTGATACATAGCTGGTCATGGTTATACATAGCTGGTCATGGTGATACATAGCTGGTCACAGTGATACATAGCTGGTCATGATGATACATAGCTGGTCATGGTGATACATAGCTGGTCATGGTGATACATAACTGGTCACGGTGATACATAGCTGGTCATGGTGATACATAGCTGGTCACGGTGATACATAGCTGGTCATGGTGATACATAGCTGGTCACGGTGATACATAGCTGGTCATGGTGATACATAGCTGGTCATGGTGATACATAGTTGGTCACGGTGATACATAGCTGGTCATGGTGATACATAGCTGGTCACGGTGATACATAGCTGGTCATGGTGATACATAGCTGGTCATGGTGATACATAGCTGGTCATGGTGATACATAGCTGGTCACGGTGATACATAGCTGGTCATGGTGATACATAGCTGGTCATGGTGATACATAGCTGGTCACGGTGATACATAGCTGGTCATGGTGATACATAGCTGGTCACGGTGATACATAGCTGGTCATGGTGATACATAGTTGGTCACGGTGATACATAGCTGGTCACAGTGATACATAGCTGGTCATGGTGATACATAGCTGGTCATGGTGATACATAGCTGGTCACGGTGATACATAGCTGGTCATGGTGATACATAGCTGGTCATGGTGATACATAGCTGGTCATGGTGATACATAGCTGGTCTTAGTGACATACAGCTTGGTCATTTTTTTTTTTTTTTTTTTTTTTTTTACATGCAAAGCATGCAATTTAAATACAATAAAAACGAGAAAAAAACACAGAAAACAAAACAAAACAAAATAGACCACCGGCCAGAAGGGCTGACAGCTCAGTACAACAAAATACAAACACGATAAATGCAGTGAAAAACACAGACATCAAGACACAAAATAGAAAACAATTGTCAAACAAGCAAGCACATTAACATCGCAAAACAAAACATCATAAACAAAACAAACATCAAGATGCATAACAAAAAACATAACAGGACAAGCACAATACACAACAAAAAATAAACAAAATAATAAACAAGTACAACATGTAAAGTAATAATTAAAACACCAGTGCAAACGTACAGCACAGAAACAAGACATGAATAAAAACACCCACACCAAACCAACCGCCCCGCAACAAACCAATAATAACCAAGCAACCCATGCAAATCAGAAAATAAACATAGGTACATACACAACAACAAACACGCATCGGCCTGAAGGACCGAGAACAAAACACAACATAAAGGACATCATGAAACAAAACAAGAAAATCGCACAACACACAACAAGATAAGAATAAAAACACATGCGAGCAATGCAGAAGGATAACATACATGTCAAAGTAAAATCAGCTTACATATTTGCCCGGGAATAGGGATACCGCACATGAAACGCCTCCCAAATCAGCCACCTCCCCCAAGAGGCTTTACCCACCACCGGGGGCGCCATGTGAAGCGGAACCCCGGCAACAAACACTCGCAGACAGGGAACCCATATGGTGTCCTTCTGGACGCGAGTATCCGCCACCCTATCCCATACACCTGGAACCCGCTCATCAGAAAAGTCCTCCGGCTTCTCAGACAGCAGGAACTCGGCAACCCAGGCCTCCAGGTCCACCATAGTAGGGGGCCGGACAGAGGGCACCACCACAGGGGCACCAGCGGCCACGGGCACACCACCAGACGACTGCAGGGAACCAAGGCGGCGCGCATCCTTTCTCAAAGTCACCACCAGGCCACGCCCAGCACCAGCATCCTCACCACCCCTTGCACCGAAAGCCACCACACCCCACTGCGGAGAGCCCCCTGGGTGGGGAAGGAACAGCAGGCACACCCGAGACACAGTCACCAGCCCCAGCAGGCACATGTACCTCCGCCACCACCAACTGTGGAGACAACGACTCATCCGGAGCCACGCCTTCAACACCTGAAGACCCACAGTCACTGAATTCCCCAACATCAGCCCAGGCAGTAGACGAACGCCTGGAATGTTTGGGCTCCGGCCGGATATCGTCAGAGCCGAAAGCAGATCCAGAAGCACGGGCACCACTAGCCGGACGAACCGACGCCCGAAGCAGAACGGCAGCAGCCTCTACCACAGGAGGAACCGGACCACACACAGCAGGAGGCTCCGCAACCACCCCAGCACCCAGCATAGCAGGGACCCGAGGCGTGGACGCAGGGCCAGGATCCGCATCCGAAGTTGAGGAAGCAGACGGCGATGCTCCACAGGGGTCACCAGGAAGGTCCACGGGATCGGCAGGGCCAGAGACATGGACATAAGGAACATCCGACGGCACTGCAACACCCGGAGGAGGGTCTGCGACAACCGGGGGAATGTCGGGTGACGCTGGGGGAGCCCCAGCAGCGAACGGGACGCTCACCTCCTCACCCCCGGAGTCCTCCTCCAGAGGGAGCGGCGGGAAATCCTCTTCACGGAACAAGTTCACGGGAGCGACCGGATCAGCAGTACACCCGGCAGCCTGATGCCCCAACAAGCCACACCGGAAGCAAGTACGGGGTTGTCGGGCATAAAACACCCACACGTAGTAACCCAACAGCCGGACAGAGGACGGAATGTCCGACCTCAGTCGCATCCCGAGGGTCCGAATGTTGGTCTTCACACCCGAATACGTGCCAGACGAAAGTGAGTTCATCCGCACACTGATGACGGAGCCGTACCTCTGGAAGAATCGCCGTAGGAGTCTCAGGAAACTCCATGGGGGCGCCATGAACACTGACATACGTCACAGCACCACTACGGTCCGAAATGGTCACAGACCCGGAGCCTTCCTGCAGCTGCAAAGTACGTCCCTCGTACCTCCGTAGAAAATCACGGTACACCACCTCACCCACAAACTTAATGATGACACGGTGAGCAGTGACCAGCTCAACATCATATACGTCCCGAACCGGGACTCGAAGCATGTCACTCAATACCACGTCCACCAGCGGGTAACCAATACGGCCAGTAAACTCCAATCCGATGGAGTTTAACCGCACGACAGCGGGAACAGGGCCGCCCATCGCAAAACACGCCACGTCCCCACCACCAGGAAAAGCAGGGAGGGTAGACACCCCCCACACCCCCTGCTGGTGAAAACGGCAACTACCTCAAACTGCCGGGGCGGACAAGCGACACGTCCTCACTCAACGGCAGCGCAGGTGGAACCTAGCTGGTCTTAGTGACATACAGCTAGGTCATGGTAGCGGCGGCGGCAGCAGCAGGAGTAGTAGAAGTAGCCGCCGCCGCCGCCGCCGCCGTCCGTCCGTCCGTCCGTCCTATCACTTATGTGTCGCATTCGTAACGGAACTTTTTCTGACTAATCCGTTAAAAATAAGACGTATAAGTACAAATTATAGCGTTGATAATATTGAGGTTTCAACATACCGGCTTCTACAGGTCAGGTGGATTGACTGGGTTCCAACCTCTGTGGTTAGGTAAAATAGTTACATTTGTGTGTGTTTAGAGCAAGGCTACTGGAGAGACTAAGGGAGTGTGGCAGTACCCACCTGGTAGTCCTCCCCGGCGGACGGCCGGAGAGCATGCAGCCCCGTCGTCATCTCCACCTTCTTACTCAGGTTCACCAGCAGCGTATCTGGCTCATCAATCTCTCGTAACCAGGCGCTGCAACATTCAACATATGTCAAACATTCTTTGCAACATAATAGGATATTATTTCCCCCCCCCCCGGCCCCTCCCCACCCCTTTCACGTGTTACCTTGGTAACTGCTCAGGAAAATGTTCCTTTGTTGCTCCAGCAACAAGGGAACATAATGTGGGCAGGGCACAGTGCTCAATATCCACTATTACTGCCCACATTATGTGGGCAGTAATAGTGGATACTGAGCACTCCTTAGTGACACTGTACACTTACCAGTGACCTCGTGCACTTCCCAGTGACCTCGTGCACTTCCCAGTGACCTCGTGCACTTCCCAGTGACCCCGTGCACTTCCCAGTGACCTCGTGCACTTCCCAGTGACCTCGTGCACTTCCCAGTGACCTCGTGCACTTCCCAGTGACCTCGTGCACTTCCCAGTGACCTCGTGCACTTCCCAGTGACCTCGTGCACTTCCCAGTGACCCAGTGCACTTCTCAGTGATCCCGTGCACTTCCCAGTGACCTCGTGCACTTCCCAGTGACCTCGTGCACTTCCCAGTGACCTCGTGCACTTCCCAGTGACCTCGTGCACTTCCCAGTGACCTCGTGCACTTCCCAGTGACCTCGTGCACTTCCCAGTGACCCAGTGCACTTCTCAGTGATCCCGTGCACTTCCCAGTGACCTCGTGCACTTCCCAGTGACCCAGTGCACTTCTCAGTGATCCCGTGCACTTCCCAGTGACCTCGTGCACTTCCCAGTGACCTCGTGCACTTTCTAGTGACCTTGTGCACTTCCTAGTAACCTTGAGCACTGCCCAGTGACCCCGTGCACTTCCCAGTGATCCCGTGCACTTCCCAGTGATCCCGTGCACTTTCCAGTGACCTTGTGCACTTCCCAGTGACCTTGTGCACTTTCCAGTGACCCCGTGCACTTCCCAGTGATCCCGTGCACTTCCCAGTGATCCCGTGGTGCACTTACCAGTGACCTTGTGCACTTTCCAGTGACCTTGTGCCCTTTCCAGTGACCTTGTGCACTTCCCAGTGACCTAGTGCACTTCCCAATGACCTAGTGCACTTACCAGTCACCTCGTGCACTTACCAGTCACCTCGTGCACTTCCCAGTGACCATGCGCACTTCCCAGTGACCATGTGCACTTCCCAGTGACCTTGTGCACTTCCCAGTAACCTTGTGCACTTACCAGTGACCCCGTGCACTTTCCAGTGACCCCGTGCACTTTCCAGTGACCCCGTGCACTTTCCAGTGACCTCGTGCACTTCCCAGTGACCTAGTGCACTTTCCAGTGACCCCGTGCACTTCCCAGTGACCTCGTGCACTTCCCAGTGACCTAGTGCACTTTCCAGTGACCCCGTGCACTTCCCATTGATCACGTGCACTTATCAGTGACCCCGTGCACTTTCCAGTGACCCCGTGCACTTCCCAGTGACCTCGTGCACTTCCCAGTGACCTAGTGCACTTTCCAGTGACCCCGTGAACTTCCCAGTGACCCCGTGCACTTCCCAGTGATCACGTGCACTTAACAGTGACCCCGTGAACTTCCCAGTGATCACGTGCACTTAACAGTGACCCCGTGAACTTCCCAGTGATCACGTGCACTCGGTGGTGCCCAGCGGCAGATCTCTACTTACTTTTTGCTGGTCCTGATCATGCTGGTGATGAAGCCTCCGTCAGGGCCCCGGTGGCGGGAGGTGGCGAGCTACGGGACACAACACAGGTCATCAGCTGATACTGGTAAACACAGGTCATCAGCTGATACTGGTAAACACAGGTCATCAGCTGATACTGGTAAACAAAGGTCATCAGCTGATACTGGTAAACAAAGGTCATCAGCTGATACTGGTAAACACAGGTCATCAGCTGATACTGGTAAACACACGTGTGATAAGCGATCCACTTCACATGTGATCAGCTGATACAGGTAAACACGTGAACAGCTGATATAGATAAAAACAGGTGATCAGCTGATACTGGTAAACAAATGATGTAAGTGAACACAGCCGATTTAAATAAATACATTTACTTTAAAGATATAAAACACAGACATCTAAACTCTCATTAAATTATGTTTCACAGGTTGGAAGACAAGGCTGGGTGACAGACAAGAAGAGAGGGTTGGGTGACAGACAAGAAGAGAGGGTTGGGTGACAGACAAGAAGAGAGGGTTGGGTGACAGACAAGAGAGGGTTGGGTGACAGACAAGAGAGGGCTGGGTGACAGACAAGAAGAGAGGGTTGGGTGACAGACAAGAAGAGAGGGTTGGGTGACAGACAAGAGAGGGCTGGGTGACAGACAAGAAAGGGCTGGGTGACAGACAAGAAGAGAGGGTTGGGTGACAGACAAGAAGAGAGGGATGGGTGACAGGCAAGAGGAGAGGGCTGGGTGACAGTCAAGAAGAGTGGTCTGAGTGACAGACAAGAAGAGAGGTCTGGGTGACAGACAAGAAGAGGGGGCTGGGTGACAGTCAAGAAGAGAGGGCTGGGTGATAGGCAAGAGGAAAGGGCTGGGTGACAGTCAAGAAGAGAGGGCTGGGTGACAGTCAAGAAGAGAGGGCTGGGTGACAGTCAAGAAGAGAGGGCTGGGTGACAGTCAAGAAGAGAGGGCTGGGTGACAGGCAAGAGGAGAGGGCTGGGTGACAGACAAGAGGAGAGGGCTGGGTGACAGACAAGAAGAGAGGGCTGGGTGACAGTCAAGAAGAGAGGGCTGGGTGACAGGCAAGAGGAGAGGGCTGGGTGACAGACAAGAGGAGAGGGCTGGGTGACAGACAAGAAGAGAGGGCTGGGTGACAGTCAAGAAGAGAGGGCTGGGTGACAGTCAAGAGGAGAGGGCTGGGTGACAGTCAAGAAGAGAGGGCTGGGTGACAGGCAAGAAGAGAGGGCTGAGTGACAGACAAGAGGAAAGGGCTGGGTGACAGTCAAGAAGAGAGGGCTGGGTGACAGTCAAGAAGAGAGGGCTGGGTGACAGTCAAGAAGAGAGGGCTGGGTGACAGTCTAGAAGAGAGGGCTGGGTGACAGGCAAGAGGAGAGGGCTGGGTGACAGACAAGAAGAGAAAGGCTGGGTGACAGTCAAGAAGAGAGGGCTGGGTGACAGACAAGAAGAGAGGGTTGGGTGACAGTCAAGAAGAGAGGGCTGGGTGACAGTCAAGAAGAGTGGTCTGGGTGACAGACAAGAAGAGAGGTCTGGGTGACAGACAAGAAGAGGAGCCTGGGTGACAGTCAAGAAGAGAGGGCTGGGTGACAGACAAGAAGAGAGGGCTGGGTGACAGGCAAGCAGACAGGGGCCGGGTGACAGGCAAGGAGGGGGCGCACCTTGGGCTTGGCCCTCTGGATGATATCGTCAGTCTGACGCTCGGTGAGGAAGTCGTGGAGGACCACGATGTAAGGGTCCAGCGACATCTCCTCCAGCTGAAGCGGCATCAGTGAGAAGTAACCGTGGGCGTGTGGGTGGGAGTGGCCGACAAGACGACACACCAGCGATGACTCCACCTCCACGGGCTGTTATGAACCACAAGTCAAATATTTAGTGTTATCATTCCGTCGCTTCCCTGTTCCCACACACAGCTATGCTGTACATTTCCTCTCACCCCTTCACCCCCACCCTGATAGTACTCAGAGTATGGGTAACGATGTGTATCTGTGCTATAACCGACGGCTCTGTAGAAGAAGGTGGACGATGTACCGGATGTGCATGTAATATATTTGAACAATCTTCTCTCGTACATACAACAATGAAGCGCGTCAGTGACTGGGCAAGTACAACTCAAACCGAGCTTGCAGGCATATACCTTGCCACTGAATTTTTAAAAGACAAAGGCAGTGGACTTATATACTGTGACTCGCAGAGTGCACTCCTGGCATTGAACGCGCATAGTAATAACACCCAGAAAATAATCAGTGATATTCGAATGAATGTTTTAGCTGCTAAAGAAAAGAGATTTGAAATTAAATTCTTATGGATACCATCACATGTTGGCATCTCAAGGTATGTCACTGTTGATATGCTTGCAAAGACAGCCTGTAGAAAACCAGTAATAGAAATTGATATGGGTGTTTCATTAGCAGTAACAAAGAGAATTCTTAAACAAATATCTAATGAAGATCTCACCGACCTAACAAATTCACAAAGACCTGAAAGTTGTAGCATTAAATATTATGATAAATATCATGAGGAGACATTCACATATGGGACTAATAGAACAAGAACCCGGCAATGTGATGTTATAGTGGCCAGAATACGCCTGGGATATAGACGTATCTGGCAGCTTTCTCAAAACCCAAATGTCGAGTACACAATGTGTCAACTTTGTGAAAGAGAAAACATGCACTCTCTTGAACATTATATTGTAGAATGCCCCATATTGACTGACTTTCGCCCTCCTGGGCTAAGGTATACTGAACTCTGTAACTACTATATGAGTACTGGAACACTTGATGATATATTGGACTTGTACCCTAGATTGATCATGTAATGTATCAATTATACAATGAATGTATGTGATGTAACTATATAACCTAAGCTTGTGAAAGCACCTTAATCACCTTCAGTGATTAAGTGCTTAATTGCACACTAGTTTCTCTATCAGCTATCTCACCCTGTCAGTAAAAGAGACAAATGTATGTATATGCATGTGTGTGTATATATGTATGTATATGTACGTATATGTGTCTGTGTATATGTATGTGTATAAAGTATATGTGGAAGATGATTAGAATTCCATTTCACCTTTGTAAATGCACATTAATGACACTATGTAAAAGACACATCGAACACCTTATGTAGGGCATACGTAAATCTGTGTATTTATGTACAGTATTTACGTATGTAGGTTAGCCTAGCCTTAAAAGCACTACAATCACCTTCTGTGGTTAATTATTCAATAAATCCCTGAACTATATGTTTAACGCATCTCTAACCCTGTCCATGGAGGACAGAAGAAAATGTATATATGCTGGTTAGCATTGTTATTGTGTGGCCACGTCTGTGGTAGAAAATAATAATAATAATAATAATAATAATAATAATAATAATAATAATAATAATAATAATAATAATAACAGTTAAGCTGTACATTCCCTCTCACCCTAGCTCTCTCTCTCACCCCTTCACGCTTGTCTCTCACCCCTTCACTCTTGTCTCTCACCCCTTCACTCTTGTCTCTCACCCCTTCACTCTTCTCTCTCACCCTAACTTATAACTAATCATCCTTACGCTGTAGGTTTCTTACTACTCTCCCTTACACCTTAACTTTCACACCCTAATACGTCTCACACTAGCTATGAACCCACCATAAGCCCGGAAACTCACCCTGAGCCTCACCTTGATTCTCACCCCTAGGGACTCACCTTGAACCTCACCCTAGAATTACCCTGACTCAATCTTGAGCCTCACCCTAGACACTCACCCCGAGCTTCACCCTAAACTCACCCTGAGCCTCATGCTGAGACTAACCCCGAGCTTCATCCTAAAGACTCACCCTGAGGCTGACCACTACAGACTCACCCTGAGCCTGACCCTCGAGACTCACCTGAGCCTGACCCTCGAGACTCACCTGAGCCTGACCCTCGAGACTCACCTGAGCCTGACCCTCGAGACTCACTCTGAGCCTGACCCTAGAGACTCACCCTGAGCCTGACCCTAGAGACTCACCCTGAGCCTGACCCTCGAGACTCACCTGAGCCTGACCCTAGAGACTCACCCTGAGCCTGACCCTAGAGACTCACCCTGAGCCTGACCCTAGAGACTCACCCTGAGCCTGACCCTCGAGACTCACCTGAGCCTGACCCTCGAGACTCACCCTGAGCCTGACCCTCGAGACTCACCTGAGCCTGACCCTAGAGACTCACCCTGAGCCTGACCCTCGAGACTCACCCTGAGCCTGACCCTAGAGACTCACCCTGAGCCTGACCCTCGAGACTCACCCTGAGCCTGACCCTAGAGACTCACCCTGAGCCTGACCCTCGAGACTCACCCTGAGCCTGACCCTCGAGACTCACCCTGAGCCTGACCCTAGAGACTCACCCTGAGCCTGACCCTCGAGACTCACCCTGAGCCTGACCCTAGAGACTCACCCTGAGCCTGACCCTGGAGACTCACCTGACCCTGACCCTCGAGACTCACCCTGAGCCTGACCCTCGAGACTCACCCTGAGCCTGACCCTAGAGACTCACCTTGAGCCTGACCCTAGAGACTCACCCTGAGCCTGACCCTCGAGACTCACCTGAGCCTGACCCTCGAGACTCACCTTGAGCCTGACCCTCGAGACTCACCCTGAGCCTGACCCTAGAGACTCACCCTGAGCCTGACCCTAGAGACTCAACTTGAGCCTGACCCTAGACACTCACCCTGAGCCTGACCTTAGAGCTTTACTCTGAGCCTGACCCTAGAGACTCACCCTGAACCTGACCCTAGAGACTCACCCTGAGTCTGACCCTAGAGCTTCACCCTGAGCCTGACCCTAGAATTTCACCCTGAGCCTGACCCTAGAGACTCACCCTGAGCCTGACCCTGGAGACTCACCTGACCCTGACCCTCGAGACTCACCCTGAGCCTGACCCTCGAGACTCACCCTGAGCCTGACCCTAGAGACTCACCTTGAGCCTGACCCTAGAGACTCACCCTGAGCCTGACCCTCGAGACTCACCCTGAGCCTGACCCTCGAGACTCACCCTGAGCCTGACCCTAGAGACTCACCTTGAGCCTGACCCTAGAGACTCACCCTGAGCCTGACCCTAGAGACTCAACTTGAGCCTGACCCTAGACACTCACCCTGAGCCTGACCTTAGAGCTTTACTCTGAGCCTGACCCTAGAGACTCACCCTGAACCTGACCCTAGAGACTCACCCTGAGTCTGACCCTAGAGCTTCACCCTGAGCCTTGACCCTAGAATTTCACCCTGAGCCTTACCCTAGAGACTAACCCTGAGCCTGACCCTAGAGACTCACTTTGAGCCTGACCCTAGGGACTCACTCTGAGCCTGACCCTAGAGACTCACCCTGAGCCTGACCCTAGAGACTCACTCTGAGCCTGACCCTAGAGACTCACCCTGAGCCTGACCCTAGAGACTCACCCTGAGCCTGACCCTAGAGACTCACCCTGAGCCTGACCCTAGAGCGTCACCCTGAGCCTGACCCTAGAGCGTCACCCTGAGCCTGACCCTAGAGTGTCACCCTGAGCCTGACCCCTAGAGACTCACTCTGAGCCTGACCCTAGAGCGTCACCCTGGGCCTGACCCTTGAGACTCACCCTGAGCCTGACCCTAGAGACTCACTTTGAGCCTGACCCTAGAGACTCACCTTGAGCCTGACCCTAGAGACTCACCTTGAGCCTGACCCTAGAGACTCACTTTGAGCCTGACCCTAGAGACTCACTCTGAGCCTGACCCTAGAGACTCACTCTGAGCCTGACCCTAGAGCGTCACCCTGAGCCTGACCCTAGAGACTCACCCTGAGCCTGACCCTAGAGCGTCACCCTGCGCCTGACCCTAGAGCCTCACCCTGAGCCTGACCCTAGAGACTCACCCTGAGCCTGACCCTAGAGCGTCACCCTGAGCCTGACCCTAGAGCTTCACCCTGAGCCTGACCCTAGAGACTCACCCTGAGCCTGACCCTAGAGACTCACTCTGAGCCTGACCCTAGAGACTCACCCTGAGCCTGACCCTAGAGACTCACCCTGAGCCTGACCCTAGAGACTCACCCTGAGCCTGACCCTACAGACTCACTTTGAGCCTGACCCTAGAGACTCACCCTGAGCCTGACCCTAGAGACTCCACTGAGCCTGACCCTAGAGACTCACCCTGAGCCTGACCCTAGAGACTCACCCTGAGCCTGACCCTAGAGACTCACCCTGAGCCTGACCCTAGAGACTCACCCTGAGCCTCTCGCCGCGACAGAGCCTGGCGTAGTGGTCGTCCTGCTCCTCGTCACTCTGGTGCTGGTAGAGCTTGGGCCGGAACTTGTGGTCGGAGACCTGTCGATACTTGTGCTTGCTGGCGAGGTCCTCGTCCACCGGCACGGCCTTCGTCTGCCAGTCGGACCCGCGGGGACCTCTCTTCTCCAGGACGTCGTCGTGCTGTGTGAAGGGCACAGGTCTGGGGCTACACCACAACTCACTAGAAATACCATTGCTCTGGTTCATACATCTGCAACTACAGTACTGAATTGCAAAAGCTACTGCTGCTTGCAACACCATGCCCGAGGCAGAGGAGGAGGAGGAGATTCCAGAGTAACAATCAAACGAAAACAGAAAGGAGCTCAGAAGCACTAAGTACAAAGTATAAGTATAACAGTACAAATTTTGGATTGTGAAGTTTCGAAGCTCATAAAATGTGTAATAAATGTAAATATAGCCGCCATGATTGTTGAAAAGTTTACAGAGTTCGTAAGTGGTTACGTAAATAGGTGACGAGTTCTTGCCCGTAGCCTGAGAACCACAACACAATTGCAGAAGCAAGAGATAACAAAGGAAATAGACCCAGACATAGCAGCGCTGATGGAACCAAAGGTGAAGTATAATCGCATATACAGCTTTTATCGGAGATCATCAGATAAAAAGATGACCAGCAGCACAGTGGTTTAAGCATGTTTATTCATAATTATTATTTTTGTGTTCCAAGCAAGAAGCAGGTACTTGGGAGCCGGGCGCTTGTTGTCCGGGTGCACCGTGGGAGTGTTCCGTCCTGAGTATAAGGAGGGGACTACATCTTGTATTTACTCAAAGCAAGTTACACATTAACGATATCAACAATGAAGTTGGAGACCCAGATGAACGAGGGGACATGGATGGTACTAGGAGACCCAGATGAACGAGGGGACATGGATGGTACCAGGAGACCCAGATGAACGAGGGGACATGGATGGTACTAGGAGACCCAGATGAACGAGGGGACATGGATGGTACCAGGAGACCCATATGAACGAGAAGACATGGATGGTACCAGGAGACCCAGATGAACGAGGGGACATGGATGGTACCAGAAGACCCAGATGAACGAGGGGACATGGATGGTACCAGAAGACCCAGATGAACGAGGGGACATGGATGGTACCAGAAGACCCACATGAACGAGGGGACATGGATGGTACCAGAAGACCCAGATGAACGAGGGGACATGGATGGTACCAGAAGACCCATATGAACGAGGGGACATGGATGGTACCAGAAGACCCAGATGAACGAGGGGACATAGATGGTACCAGGAGACCCATATGAACGAGGGGACATGGATGGTACCAGGAGACCCAGATGAACGAGGGGACATGGATGGTACCAGGAGACCCAGATGAACGAGGGGACATGGATGGTACCAGGAGACCCAGATGAACGAGGGGACATGGATGGTACCAGGAGACCCAGATGAACGAGGGGACATGGATGGTACCAGGAGACCCAGATGAACGAGGGGACATGGATGGTACCAGGAGACCCAGATGAACGAGGGGACATGGATGATACCAGGAGACCCAGATGAACGAGGGGACATGGATGGTACCAGGAGACCCAGATGAACGAGGGGACATGGATGGTACCAGGAGACCCAGATGAACGAGGGGACATGGATGATACCAGGAGACCCAGATGAACGAGGGGACATGGATGATACCAGGAGACCCAGATGAACGAGGGGACATGGATGGTACCAGGAGACCCAGATGAACGAGGGACATGGATGGTACCAGGAGACCCAGATGAACGAGGGGACATGGATGGTACCAGGAGACCAAGATGAACGAGGGGACATGGATGGTACCAGGAGACCCAGATGAACGAGGGGACATGGATGATACCAGGAGACCCAGATGAACGAGGGGACATGGATGATACCAGGAGACCCAGATGAACGAGGGGACATGGATGGTACCAGAAGACCCAGATGAACGAGGGGACATGGATGGTACCAGAAGACCCAGATGAACGAGGGGACATGGATGGTACCAGAAGACCCAGATGAACGAGGGGACATGGATGGTACCAGAAGACCCAGATGAACGAGGGGACATGGATGGTACCAGAAGACCCATATGAACGAGGGGACATGGATGGTACCAGGAGACCCAGATGAACGAGGGGACATGGATGGTACCAGGAGACCCAGATGAACGAGGGGACATGGATGGTACCAGGAGACCCAGATGAACGAGGGGACATGGATGGTACCAGGAGACCCAGATGAACGAGGGGACATGGATGGTACCAGGAGACCCAGATGAACGAGGGGACATGGATGGTACCAGAAGACCCAGATGAACGAGGTATTACTTCAGAGAACATAAAACTGTCAAGAAGGGGGAACTAGGGATCTTGATGTATTTACAGGTTTAAAAGTATATAAAATAAGAACTGAGAAAGTTGGAAGTTCTTGCAATAAACAATTGACAGCTACATAGGCGGACCCCAGCAGCTGTACCGTGACTGTACATTTCTCACACACCCACAACACTCACATCCACTCAACACACACACATCCACACACAACACTCACACATCCACACACACATCCACACACAACACTCACACATCCACTCAACACACACACATCCACACACAACACTCACACATCCACACACACATCCATGCACAACACTCACACATCCACTCAACACACACACATCCACACACAACACTCACACATCCACACACAATACTCACACATCCACACAACACACACATACACACACACCCATCCCGGAAGGATGAGCAGAGTGCATTTTTTTGACTGTCGGAAAGCCTTTGACACAGTACCCCATAAAAGGCTGGTACATAAGCTGGAGAAACAGGCAAGAGTAACTGGTAGGGAGCTCCAGTGGATAAGGGAGTACCTAAGCAATAGGAAACAGAGAGTTACAGTGAGGGGTGAGACCTCAGATTGGCGTGAAGTCACCAGTGGAGTCTCGCAGGGCTCTGTACTCGGACCTATCCTGTTTCTGATATACGTAAATGATCTCCCAGAGGGTATAGACTCATTCCTCTCAATGTTTGCTGACGACGCCAAAATTATGAGAAGGATTAAGACAGAGGAGGACAGCTTGAGGCTTCAAGACGACCTGGACAAGCTGCAGGAATGGTCGAACAAATGGTTGTTAGAGTTTAACCCAAGCAAATGTAATGTAAAGAAGATAGGTGTAGGGAGCAGG